GCCACTTTTACACAAATGCTTGTCGTGGTTTCATTCAGAAATACCCACGGCAGTGACGAAGGGAGCAATAGTCACTTCAGGCAGGTGAGCTTTTACAAACAGAGTCACAGTTTACAAGCTACAGTTAAATTATTTGTTTCGTTAATCCTCAGGTCGAGTCCGGAGCTCCATCACATTTGTGTTAAAGTCAAATCAGTTAACTGAAGTCAAAATATTTTTCTGTCATACCAAGGTTTTCCATTACAAAGACACAATATTTGTCTAATTCTTGCATGTATTAATGCATTCACATAACTATATGCAAAACCTGACCTCGCTTATTATTAAAGAAACTGCCAAAACCACATTGCTTTCCAAATCTGCATGCGGTTCAGACTTGTGTCGTATTGAAAGCCAAATTTAAGCATTGCTAGGTCCGACCTGGTAAGACTGCAATCGTGACTTTTAACAGAAAAGTGACCAGGTGTGAAGCCGACGTGATCAGATGCTGTCAGATTGACAGAAACGAGATCACGACTGAAACTGGCTTTCATGTGTTTACATGAACACGAGGCTCGTCCAGATTTTGACCACATTTGGACATAATGTTCACATGGATCATAGAGAAGTCTGGTTATGCATATCATTGTAAAAATTATGAGTGTTTCTTTCTACTAACACAAACCACAATCCTGTAATTGTTAACTCCAGTTAATTTGACATGTAGCTATTTATCTGACTTGTTCCACTGTGAAGTCTGTGTCCTATAGCCTGCCTACTATAGACTTGAAGAGAGCAACATTTTGAAGCTATACATACATACATATATATATATATATATATATGCGTGTGTGTGTGTGTATAAGTGGATGAAGCCATGCTTGCACAAGTAGTTGGCACCATTCAGAATCAGGAGCAGCATTCAGGCTTCATAACTGGGATCTCATAACGGAAGCCATGCAAAAGCCGCAAACTTCAAAAAACAACCCACATCAGCTCACAAAACTAAACTTGTCTAATCCTTTAACATACTTTAATGGGGGGAATGTGGACAACTAACTTCAGTTTGCAGGTTGAAAATGAAAAAAATGAAGAAAACATCTTCACCAACATACGTGGAGAAAAGTGAGAAAACACAAGCAAATACCGAAACACTGAACATAGTGGCTACAAAGGAAATGTTCAATAAAATGTGACCGAAAAAGCTGGGACCACTTGTTGTTGCCATGGTGATTCATGAGCCTCCTGAGGTCAGCTGTCCAGTGGCGGTGTTGGAAAACTGCGATCAATCAGGCTAAGTTCTCACTGATATGTTTTTATTTTTAAACGAAACCCATCCCCATCCAAAATGACCATTTTAGTACCATTTCAAAAATAATCTCTGTAAACACTTACACAACTGAATACACATCACATCACTCTTCACGTACACTCGGCTAGTGTAAACAACAAGAAGAGGACTGTTTGCTAAGTTGTGGGACGTTGTAGGAAATATTACTGAGAAATGGCAAATAGTACAACTAGGGCGCTCGCTTGGACAGACGATGACGTGGAACAATCTGATCAGTCGGGTCATGTGAGAGGGATGTGTCAATTCAAGGAAGACAGAAAGCATCCAATCAGAAAGTGACGTGCGTGTTTGCAACATTGGGTGCGTTCCAATATCTATACTTTAACATAGCCATACTTTAATACTGTATTTACATTTAGTATCTCCCAGTGCATAGTGTGTCAAATGCAACTTGCCAAAAGTCCCAAGATGTCTGCCTACATCCGGTCAGATTTTGCAGTTTGCAAGCCAGCTTGCTTTTCTGTCCATTCGGACCAACAATCCTCTGTTTAGCTACATCACATACATCACGATGTCCCATGCAACAGACTGCAACATCCAAATTTAAGGCACAATACTATGACAAAGTAGTATGTTCTAAATGTATGCACACTAAATTAAATGTTATGTACTTTAAAAGAGCAGAGTGGATGCAAGGTGTAAATACGGCAAAAAGTTATGTGTTTTTTATGTACTAGCGCAGAAGTAGCCTGAGATGATGTTCTGATCTGTTGTCAACCGTGCAGCATTACAGCAGAATTTCTGTTTTGCTAGTTTTTTTTGTTTGTTTGTTTTTTTAATTTTGCATATATGTTGTCAATAGGTGGAGTTGTTTTCTTCATTAGCTTGTCTATTTGCTTTTTTTCTTTTTAAGTTACAGCTCACTACCACTGACACCTCTCCACATGAGACTAAAATGCATTAAGAAAACATTTTGAAAATATTACATTATTCTTCACTGCACGCTAAATGTGTTGCATCTGTGTTTACAATCAGTGACATACTTTGGGCTCTTCTTGTGACTTTGTCTCTTTCTCTCTCCACATGTTTGGGTCGGACAGCAGAGTTCCAGATGTTACACCAAGAGGCTGTGAACCGCTGGAAATGGGAAGAAGGGAGGAGGGGGTCGGGTGGGGGGCTACAGGAAGTATCCCACGGTATCCACGGTAACCTTGACATTCCATCCTGACCGAGTTCCCTGACATCTCCCACAATTCACTCTGCTTCTCCGCTTCAGCCATGGAAAATGACGCACGCAAACACACACTTTATCAAACATCGGTGCTCCAAAACAGTCCCGTAACACGCGTATAATGAGTATGTATCTATAATTTTGTGAGTTTGTGTCTAATATATCAGCTTTTCTTTCAGCTGCCCAACCCAAGCCACAACCATCCAGACATACACACACACACACCTACACACACACACACACACACACACACACACACACACACACACACACACACACACACACACACACACACACACACCTTCCAGGCAGATATATAATGGGGTGTAAGCTGAGANACACACACACACACACACACACACACACACACACACACACACACACACACACCTTCCAGGCAGATATATAATGGGGTGTAAGCTGAGATGTCTGAGATAGCCGACAAAAAACAGGAGAATGGGGCTGTGGTGCAGGGATACTGTGATATCCTGCACATACATATGACACACACGCAATTATGTGAACCCACTGATCATTAAACCTCTTGCACTTTGTGTCGTACACAGAACACACACACACACACGCACACTGGGAGATTTATGCTCTTTGAAAATGCTCCATCAAAGTTTACTTTGAGACACAAGTGTTTATCCACTTCATAAGATTTCTCCAAACACATAAATAAAGAGGAGGGGAGGTGAGAGAAAGGAGAGCAGAGAGAGAGCTAAAAGAGGGGATTGAGGCTTTTGCTGAGGAGGGTAGGGGGGAGACTCAACTCCTGCTAATGTATAGTCATATAGGACAAAGACAGAAACTTATTTTTATGGCATCAAAATAAGAGAATACGCTGAGTGAGTTGAAATTATTACAGTGAGATACTGATATAGATTGACAGCAAGAAACAATGAGAGGAGTACTATGAGATTTGATTTGATTTGATTTGATTTGATTTGATTTGATTTGATTTGATTCGAGACAAAAGCAAACCACATGAAAACAATAATTCATGTATATTTGACCTGAAGAAAGAACAAAAAAGTGCTGTGCAACCTAAAACACTTGTTTCCCCTGCGGCTTTTGATGGAAGACAAAACAACAGCTCTTTTGAATGTTTGGCTGCCTTGACTGTCAAAACTGTGCTAAATCACTGCTTTGGGGTGAAAACCTTGCACGTCCCCTCCAAAACAGAAATCTTTAGGGACTGCAAAAATACTTTTAATGTCTGTATGACAATAGAATTTGGGTCTAACTGTCTTTATGTTACTCTATGGGCATGAATGCATGTATTTGTTTAAACTGAATTTCTTCCACATGGAGTTATACTGGATGAAGAAGGGACAAATTCTACAGCGTCGGCTGAAAATACAAGATATATGAACAGGTACGTAGTTTGTAATCAGTGAGGAAGCACTGAAGAATAAACTGGAGATACAAAGACATCCAGTGATTGGTGTGATTACTGTACACACCAAATATTTTCTCAAAATCATCTCACGTTTCCATGCAAACATACCTGTATCTCACACATTACAGTTAGTTAGGGTGTGTTTTATCTCCCGCTGCCTACAACAAAAACAAACGAAAAAAAGAACCTGCGTTCTGTAATAACGCAGTGACAGCGACGGGAATATTTCAATCCTCTGCCTGCGAATCTCTCAGACACACACAGCCGTGCACACAGAGGGAGAAGTGCTCACAGAGGGTTAAAACAACTGCCAAGAAGAAATCAGATTAAAATGAGGTTGGATCTCATTTCAGTTTTTCTCTGTCACTTTTTTCTTTTGCTCATGACCCATTTTTCTGTGCTGCTGCAGGAGAGACAGAAAGAGGGGTGGGGTGGGAGTTAAGGGAGGGATAACTTCAGTCCTCTGCTTCGACAGACAGAAAGGAAGATAGAGAGAGAGAGAGAAAGACAGACAGACAGACAGACAGACAGACAGGCGCGGCAGGAAAACGACAGACAGCTCCTGCTAGTAAACAGCTTTGTATTTTGCATTACGTAGAGGAAACACACATTCATCTGAGCGCTGTTTGTTCACTCAAGTCTGAAGGTGTGCACAAGTGTTTATGTGCCTGATGGGAGGCTGTGTCTGAGCAGCTGATGTGTATTTGTGTCCCCACTGCACAGATCAATGATTACATTACTAAAGCGATGTGTGTGTGTGTGTGCTTGTGTGTGTCTGTGTGTGTGTGTGTGCGCGCGTGTGTGTGTGTGTGGACTTTCATTCCTCCTCCTTTCACCACCACTGAGTTCTGCTGTTTAACTTATAAATGCAAAACTCCAGACTCAAACGTCTTCACTTTAGAAGCTGTCTGTTCCATCTAAGGAGCGTCTATTTCAGGAGTGACGGGATCATCCAAACACACAAACATCCCGCCTATTCAAACAGGTCAGTGCAGTCCCTCATCCAGTAAGTGTGTGTGTGTGTGTGTGTGTGTGTGTGTGTGTGTGTGTGTGTGTGGGAGATAGAAATACTGAGGCAAAGTGAGAGACAGTACCTGTCGATGATAACAGGGTCTGAGGGTGTCTCATTACGGTTTCCGCAGCTCTTCTTGTCACAGCACCGACTGGGAGAAGAGAAGAGAAGACAGTCAGAGAAGGAGGCACAGGGGCAAAGTGAGGAAAGAGTTCGACACAGAGAACATACGCTACAGTACATGGAAGCTCCAATTTAGATGCTTAAACGGCAAGTTATGTACTTTGTCTGAACCGATGTAGAGGACTTATTACCAAATTCGCAGCATTTGATCAAATCTGTCTAAAACAAGCCAACAGGAGTTGTACTGAAAGTCTGTCAAGCAGATCTACACTGAAAGCACAGATAAAAATAGACCTATATGACACGGAAAGCGAGAGAATAGCAGGATCTGAGAGAAATACACTAGATTTTTAGGGAAGTAGCCAACTGAGGAACTCTAGCTATTGCATGATGTGTGCCAAAATCATGTTACATCTTTGTACAATACATACAATGTGGTGCCCACATTGTGGTTTGACTGACTGTTAAAAGACATTGCTTTGACGTTAAGGCCTCTATGGTTTGTTATAGGTAAAGTGTTGCTCCGGTCAGTGGTCTTATCTGCTGTCAGTCTCCAGCTTTTACTCTGGTGCTTGTTGCTGCTAAAAACAATCATCAGTCAAGGAGCGCTTCTCATGACACAACCAAAAGATCAAAAGCTTAAATCAACCGTTTCCACCTGTGAGCCTGGACAGGTGAAGGAGGGGCAGGTTAAGTGGTGGTGACACCTGAATGCCATCAAAACATATATTTTCTCCAAAAAACTCTCCAACATCCATGTTTTTGGAATTGGGTTCAAATAACCAGTTCAATATTTTTGAAATGTTCTCTGTTGTAACACAGTACCAGTCCCAGGGTTGTCTCCATAGTATTAAAAAATGATGATACATTTTATAGAAATGGGTCTAAAACTGTCAAAACATACAATGTTTCAATTTGAGATTCCTACTTGGATTTTAAATTTAAACTCCGCCGATTTCCCACATGAAATTAGCTTTCAGGATCTTAAGGAGTTACCATTTTCACAGGCTTTGAAAGCAACTCTGAAGCTTGAGCTTTGAGCTAAGAAAATAACCTCTTATGATGTCACTGTGATATGGCAAACTGTTCTTATTATCAGGGTGTCAAAATGTCTTAGAGATGTGCACAACATTTCTTCACAGAGCAAACTACATCAATATTCAACACCCATATGGTTTTCCAGTTTAAAAGAAAAATTCTCAGAAGGTTGCAGGTTAGTTTTGTTTTATTGTGCACCTTCAGTTTCATTTTCACTCACCGTTTGGTTAAGTTTAGGCACCAAAACTAAAGATTGTGGTTTGGGTTGAAATATAATCTTTCTAAACATTAACCGCAAACTTGTCATTGCAGGAAAAGATGTGATGTGACGACAACTGCTAAGAAAATTTGACGGTTTCATTGCATTTAGTTTGGGCTTTCAGGTAATTTTATAGATCCATTGGACCCCCGTGCACTTTAAAAAATGATGCCAAAAGGCACCCAGTGTGTTCAAACATGATGCCAAGGGTCTGAGTTGGGAGTAAAGCCAGACTTAATTATTCAAGATCGCGGCAAATTGCTTGAACTTTAGAGAAGAGTTGCACAAAACAGTGCACAATGATCTCAGCTTCATCCTAATAGTAGTGATGAACAGGTGAGGTGGAGGAGGGACAGAAGAGGCCCGGGGCTAAAAGGAGGAGTGGGTGGGAGACACGCAAATGTAAGAAGAAAAGAATAAAAGAAAAAAAGAAAAAAAAACCTGGCATGCTCACCAAAATTCACACATATGTACTACATGTGTGTCAAAGAGGCTTTCTTGTGTGCATCAATTATGAATAAAGGTGTAAGCATGAGGGAGGAGGATGACGCCGGGGCGGGGTGGAGGAGGTGGGGTGAAGAGTGAAAGGGTGAGCGTGGGAGGGAAAGCTAAAACAAGAGGGGGAGAGGCGGGTGGGAAGAAGAGGAAGGGGAGACGTCTCAGGTTTCCCACTGTCACAGATGGCAGAGGTGGAAAGAAAGAGGCTGATACGTTACACCTTCCTCATTGTCTCTGCTATCTGCCGCTCTGTCACTCGCTTTCTGCTGCTCTATGAACTGGGTCACTACCAGAAACTGCACAGAACAGCACCAGGGAGAGGTCAGAGAGGAGCAGGACTGGAGATGAGGGAAGGGGGGGAAAGCAGAGGGGAAGAGTAGGGGGGAGAGGAAAGCTAAGCCCGAGGAGAGAGGGATGTGATGGGTGAGGGAGGTGGAGGGGATGGGGGAGATGCAGAGGGGAGATTAAGGGGGAGGACAGAGGAGGAAGAGGAGAAGGGAGCAGAGTGGAAGATGTCATAATACAGGGGTGGTGGTGAGCAGGAAAAACGAGGGGTGGGATGGGGGTAATGTAGCACTTATTGCTTTGGATCCTGGTGATCTAATCATCTGCTCTCCCCCCCTCTCCTGCGTCTCCTCCCTTCTCCTCCCACCACACACACACTTTAAACAATAGAGTCTCAATAGCATGAATTGAAGGCACCACTTTGTGATCTTTACATGAAAATGTATTTGATTTATGTCTACTATAGCTTTGCTTAGTAAACAGTTCATTGAAATTGATGAGTTGTTCAACAGCAATTTGATAATCATTTTCACCATCATTTATCAAAAGAAGAAGACCAAAATTCACAAGTTCCAGCTTTTCAAATGGAAGGATTTGCTGCATTTCTCTTTTATATCAATGTCAACTCAATATCTTTGGGTTTTGATTAGACAAAACAAGTAACATGAAGATGTCAGTTTGGGTTTGGCACTATTTTTAGACTAATTCATGAATAGATGACCTAAAAATATAAGGACAGATTAGTTAATAATAGCAGTAATCATTAGCTATAACACTAACTTAAGATATTTTGGTGTTAAAATAGTAATAAAAGTGCATAACAAACCAACATTATCTAACATTTTATCCTATAGAGTAGGCATCATCCCCACAGCTTCATTATACACTGTATACTGCATTCCTAACATTGCTGTTAGACGTCTCTCCTTACAGTATATGAGGATAGAATACACTACGTATTGCCAAAAACTAAAAAAGCATTCAGAATTTGTGTTTACAGTCATTTTATTAGAAATACTATAATAAATGAGTCTGTATTTAAATATCTTTGAGTACTACACTCTAATGAGATATCTTGCATTTAAATAAGAAAAAAGGTCTTAATTTTCAAGCAGTAATTACTACAAGTGAGAGACCTGAAACATTTCTCAAGATAAAGCCATCTACATAAACCGCAACTGCTGGCCAGTCATTACAAACAGATGGCAGGCACCAAAACATTGTTCAAACTTACAGAACTTGTCTAAAATTCTATCCGAAAGTTTCCAAAGAAACCATGCGTGCCCGACTAAATCGTAAGGAAGCTCAGCGTAAACATTATGCAGCTTCAGTGCAGGGTTTGAACAAGCTGTTACAGGAACTGGTGTCAGACAGAGACATGAACCTAAACCAACATTTATCCTGCAACAAAGCCTCCGTCGTCCATTCTTGTAAAAAAAAAAAAAGCCTTACACATGTTGGTGCCAAAGCAGCTTTACAACACAGGTTTGTGTGGTGGCAGATTGGCTGGGAGCATATGGCTAATAGCACCGCCATGACAATAAGCCACACTGATTAATGGACGCCCTGCGCTCTTTGTGTGTGCGTTCGATGCTGCGTGTTGTGTGCGAAGCCCCCGCTGCAGAATCAGCATGTGAGAACATGAGGCAACAGCCTTAACTTTGACCTCAGCGGCTGTTGAAGACAAGCGAATGTTTACATTGGTTGCAGAAGCCACACTTTCTGCACTGTTGCTCCCCTGGAGGAAACGTCTGGAAAAAGCTGCTTGCAGGACAGGCAATGTGGAGGCTTTTCTGCTGCAGGATTCATTGTGTGCTGTACGCAAAACTGTTTATTCCTATCTGCTATTTATTCCCCACGTGATGAACAACAATAATTTACAGTAAAAATCTGCTGCCAAATATAATTTATTTATAAATTCCTTGTAAATCACATCAGAATTTCAATGGGTTTTCCGTAAGCCTGTGCAGCTGAACCGCCTGAGGAATATTCAGCGAGCTATAGAATGAAATGTTAGTGTGCCTGATTTCACGGCTAAAATCCCTGCTCGCGCATATAGATGAAGCCCAATTTATATTGTTACCGTTAAAGTTGTTCAGTGACAAGGTCAAAGAATAAGAACAACTTAATTCATGCGCTAAATTTGAATTTTTATAACTGTGGTGTGCATGACTGTGCGTGCATATGCATACTTCTTTGTGTCTATATATACATAAATGTGTGTGTGTGCGCCTGGGTCGCTGCCTATATTTTATAGTCAGATTGTAGAGGAAGGCCCATTTGTTAGCCATGAAACAACAGAAGGGTTCCGATTGACTAATGAGTTTCTCTGTGTCCTAATTAACCAGGCGTCACACACACACACACACACAAACCACACTCGTTTCCGCGCACACACTTTCCATTGTATAGCATAGGTTGGTAAAATGCCTCTATAAATAGAGCTCTTTCCTCCCCAACCTACTTTGGAAGAAATTCATCTTTAGATTATAATTAAAGCAACAACTCTGATAGCCAAAACCCATCTTCCTCAATAGATGCGGCTTCATGTTTGCGTGCACGTCTGCTTCTGGGTGTGTGGGGAGGGAGGGGGGTTAATGAGGATGACATAATAAGAAATGTACGAGGAGGTGATTGGTGGGAACTTTCTGCAGACGAACAAAAGTGTGTTGCAGAAGTAAAAAAGAAACGGAGGAGAGTGGAGACGAGGGATGAAGTGAGGGGGATTAGGGGATGAGATGATGAGACGTGATGCACTCGCTCCTACCTGCACATGATCTCGTGTGTCAGCAGCACTCTGCACATCTCTGGGTTCTTGTCTTGGCCTTCATAAACAATCGCCTGAAAGAGACATGCAGGGGAAAGAGGAAATCGATTGTTAGCTTGATTCAGCTTGATTCAGCCACAGTAACAAAAATAAGACTCTTAATTATTAGCCTTAGGATGTCTGTATTGTGAGATTTGTTCAAAATGACCTATTTAACAGTAAAACATGACATGTTAAACAAGAGCAGAGCAATCATCAGAGTTTGGATGCACATATTGTACTTGTCAGTTGGTGTTTTAATGGGATTTGCTTCGAAAATACTGAATATTAACAACTTTCTCTTTCAATCAGTGGAAAAGTGAGAAATTAGTAGCATAATATGATGTATCAGATGTCATATCACTATACTTTTAAATGCAATGAAGCGATACTTTCACTCAAACACCCTTCGAAAGGTGCCAGTCATTGACTGTATCAGTGCGTGGATGCATAAAAACTCATTTGCATGTTTTCAGCACACTGCACATTAAACATCTACCAAAGCAGTGTGAGGAGATGGCAACATACGACACCGTCAAAGAGCAAGAGAACATTTTCTTTGTATCATGTTGTACATTTATTCTCTTCTTTATAACAGTGAAAGCGGCAAAGCGTTGTTGAGGTAACAGGTTAGTTCCCACTTCACCTCAAACAACACGCAGCAACACCTCCGTTTCACATGCACACAGTCACACCCATTGTCTCTGCACGGGTCGTCTGTCACCCTAGCACACACCCACAATTTAACAAAACCACATCATCCGCTCACGTGCAGAGCAGGCAAGTCACCGAAGCACAGAGTAAAGTTGTAGATTCACAGTGGCCACAGTTTTTGCCTCTGAAAAGGTGTTTCAGCTGAAGCTTCCATCATACAATATTCCTGGTTCTGGTGAGGAAGCTCAGAATAAAGCGAAGGCATAAGTCACACACCACTAAGCTATCTATCAATCAATACGCGCACCCTGTCTGTCTTTGGTCTATTCCAGTCCGTTTGATCTGTCGCTCCGAACCGCAGCGAGTCTCACCGAGTGACAAGCTCACTTTTCTCAGGGAACAGCGTGGAAGTTTCTCTGTCCTTCATAATAATCCTCAGCTCAGGTTCAGGCTACCTGCTGCCGTCAAGTGAGCGTTAGTAAATTAAGTTCATTTAGTGAAAGCTTAAACAATGCAACACTCATAACTGATGCTGTAAACAAATCAGCCACAACATTAAAACCCCCTTCCTCACATTGTTGTCATTTGTTGTAGTGACTCAAAAAAACAGCTCGGACCAATTGAGTCCTGGTTTCCACAAGAACTCTGAATGTGTACCGTCATGTTTGACAGACCGAGATGTCGCCAGCAAGTCCTGGAAGCTGTGAGGTGGGGCCTGATGGATCCAACTTATTTTTCCAGCAAATTCCACAGACGATCAGATTCAAATCCTGAACAGTTTTTGCAGTGTAGCATCATCTTGCTGAAAGGGAGCATCAGGGAACACCATTACCATGACGGGGTGTACATGGTAGATGCTAAGTGTCAAAGCAACCTCCTCGCCAGGACACGAGGTTTTCCAGCAGAACATTTCCAAGAGCATCACACTGCCTCCACCAGCTTGCCCTCTTCCCTGCTGCTCTCTCATCCCCAGGTAAAGGATGTACCTGGTTGTCCACACAAACCACTTTACGGTTTTCAGCTATTTGCTCTACAGTAGGGTTTTTTTTTTATACACTTTAAAACATTTATCTTTATTGGACAGTTACAGAGCAGGGCAACGACATGCAGTAAAGAGCCAGCCAAGAATCAAACTGAGGACTCACCGCTGGAGGCGTTTGTGCTCATGTGGTTTGCATCCTAATCGCTCGGCTATGAGGTCTCCCTTACAGTGGCTCTTCTTGGGCTAGCCTTTTGCTCCCTACATGCATCAACAAGGCCTTTGGCGCTCATGATCAGTTGTCCTTCCTTGGAGCACCTTTAGTAGATGCTAACCAGTCCTCTAACCATCACACTTCAGTCCTTGCCAAAGTCGCTCAGACCCTTATTCTTGCCCAATGTTTCTGCTTTCAACACATCACCTTCAAGAACTGACTGTTTACTTGCTGCCTAATGAATCATACCCCTTGACAAGTGACACTTAATGAGATCATCAATGTCATTCACTTTACCTGTCAGATGTTGTAGCTGATTGGTGTATAAACGCAACTTACTCAAATGTACCACTACGAAAACATACAATATGTTATTGATACGCACTTACTTTAAATGTTACCTGGAAAGGTTATGGAGTATCAAACAAAAGGTTTAAAAACTCCATCTTTAACTCTCTAGGAATTACAAATCCCTTATTTTACTCCACCAGTGATTCCTTTCCTTTTTACATTTACTTAAGTCAAGTTGAAGTGGTTATATTTCCGATGCTGCTTCTTCAGGGAGAAGACTGACACCACCAGTGACACCAATTTATGCAATGAGTCAATGGATATGATGCTTTTTGGGAAAACTGGGCTCCAGAAGTGACAGCTGATGAGGTTGTGTAAAGCGCCAGCTGAGAACACAAAGGAGAGGCCTTGAAAGAAATTATATCCAACAAATCTTACCTATGAGTGAGCGTGGGCTGTCCTGGCAGGGGCCCCGGGGCGAGCATGTTCCTTATGGGGCCCCAGCATGAGCAAGGACTGTAGGCTGAGCCCCTCATTTGTAGAAACTATAGCCTTATATGGCCCACAGAAACTAGCTTGGAGCTGTGCAGCATTAATGGAAAGTCACGATAGTAGCTGTGCAGTCTGAGGGCCCCATTATTGTAGCCTAAAGCATTTCATTCTAATAGCTAGTCGTCTCCAGGATCCTCTGTGTTTTCTGGAATTGGAGCCCCCATGTGTTTCAGGGCCCGGGGCCCTTGTCAGTTACAATTTTCCATGCATGTGCATATATTCCATTCGAAAACCCCCTGCTGAAAACTTATCGACACATGAACCTGGAGAGGCTCTTGGTGGTCCAGGACTCCAGGGATGTGCACACACAGTCAGCACAAGCATGATGTGTAAAATGAAACAAAAATAAGCTCAGAGCAGAAACTGCAACAACAGGCAGGCCGAGCTAATGCTAAGCTAGCATTTTCAAAAGAGCCGCTCTGACCACATTGGCTATACAAGGCTGACTTGCAATTACAGCTGTATGTGAAACAAATTCATCTATCCAGAAAACAAAATAAACATTTATCCACGCTGAAAACATCTGCAACGGCCTTGGACAAAGCAAAGACTCTCCTGTTAACACACTGCCGAGGTTGATCCAACACCCAAGACATCTGAAACTGTTTCCATAATCCCCCTCCATCAGTCTTTGAGCTGTAAAATAGCACTGTTTACAGTTTCATGAAAGCAAATCTAAGTGTGGGAAATGTAGAAAAAGATAGAATTTGACAGATCAAATTTGAAGAGGAAATCTGCTTTATAAGTCACAGTCGTGTCTATGATTAGTCCCTCGCGTTCTGCCAAAGAGTGGAAAAAGAGCGGGCCAGGCAACTTCCAGTGAACTTGCTTCCTATCCTGGACAAACATGCATCATTGTCATCTCAACCTTTCTCGTCTTCTTACTTTTTTTGCACTTTTGCTCTTTTGTTCCCTCTCTTACACACACAGACACACACACACTGGAAAACCTTCAAACCTTGGGCCAGGTGAATGCATTTATCTTTATAAACAGAATTAGGACTGATGCAACTGTGTCGTGAAAGTTAAGTTTAAAGTTTCTCAAAAGTACCACTCCTGCTGGTAGCACAAACCACCAAACTTCTCCTTTATTTAAGTGACCGCTCCAGCAGCAGAGCACAGTCCTGTTCAGCCAGGACAGTAACAAATGAGTTGCACTCGTGATTCAATGCAACCAAAAACTGTAGTGCACGAAGCAAACAAACAATTCTGCAGAATTAAAGGTATGATAATGTTATGGTTTCTACCTAAGAATCTGAACAACAAATGCATATCTAGACGTATAAGTGATGACCTAAGTAAGCTGGTTAGTATTCCCTTTGCAGATATACTGTAAATTTGATATCCAGTTCTTTCCATCCTCCTTGCTTTGCCTAATGTTGACTTATCTTGCTCTGTGCCAACAATCTTTGCTTCTCTTGACTCTGTTTAGACCTCAAAAGACAAGCGGTTTCCTGCATTATAAAGGCTCAGATTTGCGAATCATCAAAAGTTGCCAATCGCAAGAACATTATACTAAACTGAGGTCTAAAGTTTCTGATAAGTCTCGGAGTGTTTTTCTTGGCAACCTGAGACATCTGGAGGAAAAACTGACAACACAAGGAACAATTTGCAGATAATACTTCACCCACTTTCTGTGACAGGCTCTCGTGAGAGTGTGTAACTTCCTCTACCATCCCGGCCCACGTTTGTCTCAGACTCTTCATCACTGTCACTTCGCCTGCTCCGCTCCTCTCTTTCATCTGCCTTTTTTCCTCCTCTGTCTCCTCCCTCTCTCCGCCTCACCAGGCCTTTCATACACCATATTTGCTGCTCTCTCCTCCACCTTTGAAGTAGCGTGACATGCGCGGCATGTAAACAAGGATCCGTTAAGCAGGGGAACACACATCCTCCTGCGTTAGTGTCAGGTCGACTAGTGAGCTAGTGATCCGACAGGGCCGCAGTGACAGACGCTTTATTCTCTGGGACAGAGTCGTGATCAACGAGCGCCAGGCTCTGCTTCTGAAGCCGAGGAGGTGCTCTCCTCCTCCTCCTCCTCCTCCTCCTCCTCTTAACACAATCAGCACTGGCCCTCAGCGCACACACAAAACAGGTAGAGGTACAAAAATAGAAGAATAACAGAAATAGGCGGCAGCTTTAACGTGAGAGTAGGCTTTACTTTGCTGGCAGAAGAATCACAGTCAGAACTGTGAACTGTAAATAGAATCAAGGATGTAAGATTAAGAATACCATGCAGTACATCTACTTTATAGAGCATTTAAGCAAAACTCAGCCTGACTTATACTGATTTTAATGCTTGTCAGCACTGATCAACAACCAAAGCCTGCACTTTAAAGAACCATCTATAATGTTCGCCATGAAATGCATCCACATGTATAAAGTCACCTACATGATATAGTTGCTGAGTTATTCATATCAAAAAACAGAGCAAATCCTGACGTGACCTCTAAACTACCTGCCGCAGTTTCTGTGGCTCAATGTCATCTTTCATTGAGGGTTTCTGTGATTAGAATTTCTGTAGAGTTGAAACACATTCTTAGGTCTTACTCTCCATATCGTGAGAGACATATTTCCAGTGCTTGCCATTACTATTTGAATCCCCTGTGATCCACGTCATATATCCAGAGCGGCGGTGAGCATATCACACACCACTGCAACTGTTTCACCCTTATCCTCTGTCATTCTTATCTTCTTCTATTTCTAGGCTTTTGACCAGTCTTTAAAATATGTAAGAGGTATGCTACTGCTGCAGCCGTGTCTAGACACGGCAGATTAACAAGTCCATTCTCATGGCTGCCACTCGGCTGTCGTCAGTGTGTGAAGATGTTTAACTTGTGGGAAACTGTGTCTGTTAAAAACGAGAATATATCACTGATATATTGTTATTTTAAGTTTTACAACAATTGCAGTGAGACACACAACATATTGTTGAGCCAGGTTAGGTTGTAGGGCTTTTCTGTTTCTACAAATGGCAAAACGATTTTGTTTTTTTAAATGCAATTTCCAGTTTTAATTCGGTCAGCTTTACTCTAATATTAACAGACACTCCGGTTGTATTTAAACAGCATTTTAACACATTAATAACTGAGTTGCTGTCGAGTGTTTCACTCTGTCTTACTGTGAAAAACATGTCAGTCAATTTGGGAAAGGCAGGTTTGTTGTGTTTGACTGGATGAAGCCACACTTTTGCTTTTGCTTCAGATCAAAGTGCATCTTGTCTACACCAGCGCAAGCTCTTTACTGCAGTGTGGCTTCATTTTTTTTCTTTTTGGCGAGACAACAATGACTATGAACAAGTGTGTGTGTGTGTGTGTTTGTGTGGGTTAGAAGACACTGTGCATGACATCACTGACCAGCTAAGCCAACCACACGGCTGTTTTGGTTTGACCACCTGTTAATGTTCCATTCCTCTACCGCTGGGAATAACACACACATACACACACACACACACACACACACTGAACTGTTCGTGCTTCATCCCTCCATGTGCTGGTTTCGTGCCGCCTGCACACATGCAGCACTAAATACCTGCTCATCTCTCCCATTTGTTCACTTCCACAGATGCACAGAACAACGCTCACACAGTGTGATGCAGGTGTCCACAGGTGCAGCACACACCTGCCTGCATCACCGCCTTGAGGGAAAAAAATGATTTTCCTTTTCAAAATAATAATAAAAAACCTGCAATTTAATTTTTCAGACATTGGTGGCACAAAAAATGTGCGTTGATGGGTTCAAACACTCCTCATCCTTGTCCGGACCATCCAGTGGGAGAAAGGCCTAACTCAATTTGGGTGTGTGTAGCAGGTTGTCACCCCACCAGACTCAAGCTAAACAGTGTTATTAGGAAACAGTGTGGTCTCTTAGGCCTGCCAGGCGCACACACACAGTATGTGGTGCAGCGTGGCAGCAGTAATGTGAGACTCTGTCAGAGCCTGGAGTCACATTAGCAAGTATTCAGTGCATAGCGTGGCTTCTTGGCTCCGAGTACCTCACCACACATGCACAAACACACACACACGCTGCATTACACCACATAGACAACTCTCACTCTCAGTTTTTATCAAGAGCAACCAAAAAAAAATTAATTCTAACTGTTTACCTGAGGAACAAAAAAAAGCAACCATCACTACAATCTGCTGTTCAGGCTGCCTCTCTTTCCAAACTCCTCCTGCAGCTCTCTTTTCTCTCTTTTATAAACGTACATACAAACAAAAAAACAAAAAAATATTAACTGAAAAATTGGATCTGATCAGAAAATGCTCGCTACTCAGCAGACCAAATCCCAGAGGTGCCGTTATATCTCTCCACATCCCACTGTGAGCAGCAGAATTACGCTGCTGCTCCTCAACACCCGCTTGCTGCCTCCTCGCTCTAATCACAGCAAGAGAAGTACAGGCAAAAAAAAAAAAATGCCTGGAGCCATGCAGTGTGGGTCTATGTGTGTGTGTGTGTGTGAGAGTGTGTGCCCCCACCCACATACACACTGCGGAAACACCCACCCACTGGATCACACCGACATAAACACTCATTTCTGTGTGTGGAAGTACATGCAGAGAGAGAGAGAGAGAGAGAGGAGGGCGGCGGAGTACAGGCGGATCAGTGGAGCAGCTCATTGTCAGAGAGGTAACAGGAGAGGTGACAGGCCGCTGTGAGAGTGTGTGTGTGTGTGTGTGTGTGTGTGTGTGCTGAAATGTGCATTTACCTGTTTAGTCATGGAGTCTATGAGTCGTACGTAAAAGTCCTGTTCTGTTCTGATGCCTGTTGGGATCCAGAGGAAGAAAGAAAATCATCAACTTGGCATGGATTGTTTTTTTATACAATAACAGCATATGTCAAATTAAAGAAACATCTAAAAAAAGTGAGAGCAGAGGTGACAAAAAATTACATTTAATTACTCCCAGCATGCAAAACAGTACATTTTCAGGAGCTGCAAGATGATAAAGACTATACTGAAGCAGAAAAAAGCACAGTTGTGACAGAGACAATTAAATGCACATTGAAATTTTAAGCATTTTCCAAATATTTGCTTTTTTTTTAATTGAATCTTGGTAATACATTTTTTAAATATTTGGGCCTCAGAGCTAAGTTGAGTAAAACAATCACTCTTTGGTTTTATTACTCTTCACACACATGCAACCTGACGCACAGCAGCTTCTATTTAACGTGGTCACCAGCCAAAAAGGTTGAAAAGAAACTGAGAGACTTGTGTGTATTAAAAATCAACCAGCAGCTGCTCATCAGTCCACACTGTGAAAATAACTATTATTCACTTGGTTTCTTTAAAAAAAAAAAAAAACTATGACACAGAGCAGAAGTCAAGTTATGTTATTTATACAGCAGAATAAGCGCACATTTACCCTAAAGGGTTCTGCAATTTGTCGAAAACACAGGGCAGCTTCCATCCTCAGACCCTTGACTCTCTGTTTCAGTCACGCAACTATGAAAACTCAAACCCCTCACAATGAGGTGAAATGTTTTTATCTGCTGTCTACATCTGGGGATGAATCGCTTGCCAGTGCTTTCAATGCTCATTCTGCATTCAAAAGATATAAAATATCAATGCATTCAAGGCACAGATTGTGGCTGTGCTTTATTCCTTTAATCCCACAGGAGGCTGGAGTTGTGATATTTGCTGCTGCTGGCTGACTCAGACTGTCAAAAAGCCCACTTCAGACTGTACAAACTCATTCAGGGACAGTGACAGTGACAAAGCCACAAAGCTGGTTTAGATTTAGTTTTTTTTTTTTTTTTAAGTCTACAACAGCTGCCCTGAAATTTCACTAATAGAGATGGGTTAAATTTACACAATCATGAAACTCCACACTGCTATTTGTAGAAGATAAACTGGTTCTGGCAGCCTGTTGGCCCTCTGCAACATTTCATCTCACTGCTTTGTGCACATCCTTTTTTGAAAAATTCCCATTATAAATCTTGAAATATTAGCCCGTGTGCATATTTTATGAGTGCAGAATAAAAACAGTCAAGCTGATTTGGTCCAACTGAGAGTGAATTTGCGTGCATGTGTCAGACTGTACTCACCGTTACTGTACAGGAGCTGCAGCCGGTAATGAATCCCGTTATTGGTCTTCTCTCCGCTCGTCTCCTTAACACACACAACAAAACACTGAGCTGTTAATTGAACAGTTTATAGGACAAAATATTTGAAAAGTTTCTCCATGCACATGTAGGCCAGTATATGCAAATATATATACATCGGAGTTATTGAATTCTTCACACTGGTCATGCATTAAGTAATAAAAAATAAATAAAGTCTGATTTATGCTCATTAAAGAAGTGCAGCTCTGTAATTTCTCCATGTGTAATCATGGTGTTATTGTGGATTTTTTAATTCCTCTGTAATTACTGGTTATGTTCGGGGGGCCAATAAATCCAAACACTAAATTCTCCCACTACATTTTTATCTAATTTAAGCGATGTCATAATTGATGAGGAGACCGACTGCCGCGCCGTTGTTTATATAGAACAAGTGGTTGTGTTGGATTGAGCTGTAAATTAAAACTGTTTAAACGTCGAAAGGGGGATTTTGTTATTTGTCAAATGGACAGATGAGATCGACGGAGGTTTAAGAGTCACAGCATTTCTAATAATATGGGGTGTCGTTTTAGAAATAAGCACATAATAATAATAATAATAATAATAATAATAATAATAATGCAGGTGAGTTATTATAAATACTCAATAATTAAATAAAGTTAGATCAAACTCCACAGTGGAATATTCAGGCCTGCAGAGAATCAAAATGGGAAATGATCTGATTGCATCTACAAATAATCAGACCAACACGTGTTTCTGCACGGACCTTTTCTTTCTCGATGAAGTCCACGAAGTTGGTCCTCTCGATCTCCACCGGCTGGCCCTGCCGGTCGTACAGAGCCAGGACGAAGTGGAAGAAGTTGGACTTCCGCAGGTTGGAGGGCGGCTGCTTCTCAAAGTGAGCCCGGGCCAGACCCACTCCGCTGCGGATACACAGGCGTGAATGAGTCGGTGTTAGAATGGTGCACAGGATGGAAAGTTGTTTTTTTTTGTTTTAACCTTGTACAAAAAGCAAAATAAAAATAAATGTGAAGGGCCTGCAAGCAGAGAGAGTAAATCCTGTTTGTGCACATTTTTTTTTATGTGTTTGATTTGAATATCATTTGAAGGGGCTGATTTAGCTCTAAAAGGAGGCTGTTTTATTTTTAAAAATCTTGAAGCAATTGTCTCGTGAAAACATTAATTTGTTCATGTTGGAGGCTGTTCGTCATGTAAGGCACAGGTCATGATTTATCCACCTTTGCATCGCTGACTGTGCTGGAGAATTTTGTTCCCTTTAAATACAATCAGGAGTGTGTTTAGAAAAAGAGGGAACATGACATGTTTTTCTGAATTTAGAAGCCTCATCTTTGGCCTACATCTATTTATTTGTTCTTTTGGTTTCATGCTCATTGAAGCTCATCCACCTAAAGTGCAGGGTGTGCGTAAAAATCTGTGGCACATGCTGCCTGTAATTGTTTAGTTGATGACAGCGTTTGTTGCACAATTATTCTGAATAATAATCATGTTTCCCAGAATTATCCTAGCAGCAGTGAAATCCAGAATTCTCTCTCCGGGCAGCAGCTCCGCATCTGCACAGCCTCAAGTCCTGCACAGGCTGCAGGGTCCTGACGGAGAAAACGCACGTTGTTTCCACGTTTCGGTAAGTGAAGGAGGGTGGGAAGTGCCGCCTTTACTCGGGCAGAGCTCACCTTTGGGCGGCCGTGTTGGCGTCCAGCACGCCGCCCCCCTGCATCCAGCTCCGGACGTTCATGCCTCCCAGCGGCTCCTCTTTCAGGCTGCTGCCGCTTCTCTGAATGCTCTCCTGGATCCCAAACATGAACAAACCTCCAAAGCTCGATGCGTGTCCCTCCGTGTCTCGGTCTCTCTCCGCCCAGCTGTGCACTTGTTCTCCTGTAGATCCTTCACTCTGATTCAAGCAAAGCAACGTGGGTGCGCTCTTTGCTGCTGCTGCTGCCGCGTGCGCTTCGCTGGAAATCAAGCAGTGCACTTTCTATTCCTCTGACTCTCTAGTCCTGAGGAGGGAGTGGGTGCTAAATCGGAGAGCAAATCATGCCAAGATCCAAAATGTACAAATACTTTAAACACGAGTTTAAATCACCAAAAGGACGTCAGGACTCGGACTGACCCAAAGTGGAAAGATGTTTAAAAAAGTCACTCCTGGTGCGCTTGGAGATCCACAGTTGGAGCTGTCAGAGAGAAAGAGAGAGATCAACTGGCACCCCGATCAGATGTCATCATTGTCTGACACTTCTTTCTTCCTCTTTTCGCTCTTTGCTTTCTCTTCTCCTGCCTCAGCCCAGTGGTCCGGGACGCGTTGGAGTCGGTGATGTCCAGAGCAGCGCTGCTTCCTGCATGCGGATGACTCCGGAGCTCTCTCTCGCCACTCCGCTCTCTCTCTGAGGAAATCGCTTTGTGACTCTTCCCAAAGGACCCTCTCTGAGAACCAAACACGGGCTTCTCCCGCCCCGGGGGGAGAGAGAGAGAGAGAGAGAGAGAGAGAGAGAGAGAGGATGGGAAGGGAAAGAGGGGAGGGGATCGGAGCAAAGGAGGGGAGGGGATAGGACGGGAGGAGAGGGAAAGAGAGGAGACGCCCCCAAACAAAGGCGAGAGTGGAGTCAGGTCCGCCCCGTGCAGCGGCCAAGGAGCTCCTCTGTCCTCCCGCTGCCCTGTCCCGGTACCCGCTCAGTCCCTGTTCAAAGGGTTTTTTTGTTTTTTTTTACGAGGCTGAACGCTTTTCTGCTGATATGGAGATGAATCCTTGCGCGTAAAACATCATTGAAAATCGAAAGTTTCTGTCTACCAGCGCAGAGCAGCTGCGGTGTGGAGCTCAAAAACCTGGAAGAAGTGCAAACTGCTCAGCGGCACTAGAGCAGGGAGGACATTTCTGGGCCGCGACACAATGACGACTTAATTATTTCAAACATCCACTTTTACGCATCGACTTTTACGCACGGCGCAGAGTTTTATGGAAACATTAAATAAGGAAACAATAAAGACACGTATGGCTTTTACAGCTGCAGAAGGCACTGAAATAAAATTGGCTGTTTTTTTTCTTTCTATTTAGTATTCATAAAACAAAGCTTTCTCACTGCCAAACCTGAAATATTAATTAAATTAATTCGTGATCTCATCACCGCCTCAAAAAGAAAAGAAGAAGGGAAACAGTCTATCTTTGTCAGTCCATATGCTCGCTATTAGACTATTTCTAGCGGCAGACATTGTGGAGAATCTGATCTGAAACCGCAGCCTGTACATTTACATCTAAGCTTTACTTACACCAGCTGCTTAGGCTCAATTATAAAAGCCATATTTCATCGTCACAACATATTCCTGTTCCCCATTGTCTTCCGTAGGCCTGCTTATTGCAGCCTAGCGCCGCAAGACACACAAACAAAAGTGACAATAACAATAATTAGCTCAAAATAACAATGAACATAATTGAGGATAATTGCTACCAGATTCTCCTGCTTTGTCTCTCCCTCTAGCACCATCTGTTATTTGAAACAATTTATCACTGCGCCGAGGGGGGACTCCAAACTAAATACAAATACTAATAGATAGCCTAATTCCGTGAACTATTTTAATAGATTGAAACTACAGCGTATTGATCTGCGGAGGTGCAAAAGGTCAACAACTTTTGTATTATTCAGCTGGCTGTGAAAATGATTGGCAGGGAGAACTGGCGCCGTTCCAGGCTTTAATTCCCAAAGGTTATTGAAAAACGCTCTTGACCTTGATTATGGAGAATAAGAGTCTTTTATACTCCAGTTTGGTGCGTATAGAAGGGAGATGGAGACAGTGGCGCATCGGCCCATAAAGGGTTTAAGGGAGTTCAAAGCTGAGGAGGAAATATATATATATATATGTGTGTGTGTGTGTGTGTGTGTGTGTGTGAATGGAGCAGTGGGAGAAGCCCTGGGGTTTTGGATCGATTGAGGGGAGATATAACATGTATATAAGTTTATTGAAAAATATTAAAGAGAAGATTTATCTGCATGTCAGCTCATATAAAGCTAGACTGGGTATTAAAATAAAAGTCTTAAATAATACAAAAATAATTAAATATATAAATAAAAAGAGAGAAAATGAAAATGCAGTCAGTTTCGAAAAAATAACAGTCAATTTTACACAAAAAAAATAAAAATAATGAAAAAGAGTGTTAAGAAGGGAGATTGATTTAAAAGAAATAATCTTTTTTTTTTTTTTTTTTAAACCATTGAAGTTTTTTTGTGTTTTTTTTTGGAAGGAATTTCACGTCAATAAAGTCAGACTTTGCAAGATGAGTCTTTTTCCTTATTATGCATGAGGCTGAAAGACTTCTACAGCCTCAAGGAAAAAGCCATAAGCAGCTTTGGCTATTTAAAATAAAAATGAAAATAAAAATAAATTAACTTTACAGTTAAATTGAGCATCACAGCTTTGTTAGACCCCAGTATACATCATGAAGTTGTGAAAGATTTCAAAAGCTACGATAAATCCTCATAAATGATATTAAGAAACAGCCATAATTAGGATGTATAACAAACGCAGAAACATGCATGAGCACAACAGGAGCCCTTTGAAGAACAGACACTACACGGCAGATAAAAGAAAAACACAACATCTTGTTAGATATAAAAACCAGCATAAAGTCACTGCTGTGCGCAATGAGTCCCTACAGTGCTGTGACAGAAATAGTCCTCAGTGTGTGTGTGTGTGTGTGTCCAACATCGGTTTGCCTCCTGGATTACAGCCCACTGAGTGTAAAAGCAATACAACAGCGCCATCAAGTGTCTGACCTGTGCAATTGCAAAATATATATATACATAGAGATTTAAATTTCCCCACCTCTTAATATGGTGTAATATGGCCTCAAATTAACTTCTCAATTTCACTGTGTTACATTTATTCCCTTGTTTTGTTTTAGGTATTAGTAGTATATTAAATAATATTAGAGGCACAGACAGGGGACAAGTTAAAGGACAAAGTTGTTGTGAGTGATCACCTCAATCCTGTGATGACGTATTTCTATCCTGATGGGAGTGCTCTCTTCACAGATGTCCCAATCCATACACTGAATAAGAAACAAACCAAAATGCATAAAAACAGTGAAAATCTTGCAGCAAGGGTGGCAGAAAAAAAACACCCTGATGAATAAAAAAAAAAACTTATTAAAAAGAATTTGGTGAATATATCTTCACATATCTGTAAAATATTGGTGTTTTAAGCTGAGTCAAATAAAGCAAAACAATGTAATCCACCACCATCATAAAGACACAAAATGAGGCCGTACCTTTTGAAGGCATGGAGTTAATCCCTCAAGTAAAGTGTCAGACTTGGGGAATCAGTGTCAAGGTGCCATGAAGCTGTTGAAGCAGCATGTGGTGGCCCAACACCTTACCAAGTCACTTTATGTTGGTTTTTCCTTTCATTTGCCAGCCACCCCACATGTTGTCTATCAGTGTAAATATATTAACTTACGGGTTATAATCAAGTGTAAACTCTACGCCCTCCATGACTATCAATAACAACACTGATTATCCACATAGAAAAGCACTACACTACGATACACAGAATAACACAAGCATGAGGAATAGAGGCCAGAGTGTCCAGAGTGGATGGTTCGTTTTATTTGACATTCAACTTTTGTAAAATAACCAAGGCAATGCCAGGCATAAAGTCCAAAACCAACCGTGGAGCATTTTTAACAGAAAACAACTGGCATTCTGAGCCAGGTTTTACAGAGCAGGTCCTAAAATTTGTGTGTGGAGAAACTAAACAGACAAAAGAACAAATCTAACAATAACCTGCAGGGAGTCTCAGTGAGAGCAGCCCTGAACACGATCTGTCTTTCTGAGGTAAATCTCAACAAATCTGTCGGTCAGAGGCAACAGCACTGGACAGCAGTGTTAAACACAAATTCAGCAAGTACAGTAAATTTGACGGCAGAGTGCAGCGTGTCAGCTGTAGATTCTATTTCCATATTTGCTTTCACCTTCAACATTGATTTTTTACAGAGAATTGTGAAAAATGGAATCTCTGATTCAGCTACACTTCAGATGTGGGTTTGACTTTGAGAACTCCGTTAACATCTGGGCCAAAGATATTACAATTTCTAATGGCGACCTAATCAATTTCAATGAAGACAATTGTTAAATCAAGTAAACAAATAGACTAAAAACTCCTCACTACCTTGTGTTTACACTGTGATTAATTAACAAGTCAATCAGATGAAAAATTTAACCAAAACAATCCTTTTAACTGATATGTAGAGTGAAAGAATTGAAGGACAACTGTTTTGCTCGCATCAAAGCTCCTGACAGGAGAACTGGAAATTTAAAATGAATGCCGCTCAATGAGAAGCAGCAGTGATGGTTCATACATTTCTTGGCTCACAAACAGCTTAAACAGCCACTGATGTATTCTACACAAAGTCGGTCCTGCAGCTGAAATCTCAGAGATGCAATGAAATACAAACAATACACTGAAAGATTGCCTATTTTTGAAATATGAAATGTCTAGAAGCATTCTATAGTTATCAGATGAACAGGTTATTCAGTCAAAGATTTAACATTGAGCTTAGTTAAAACATTTGATGTTAAACTGTCCCAGACAGTATGAGAACATGTCACAGTAGCTTGGAGAAACTGCAACTTCTCCAACATGGAGTAAAAACTGAGCAAATACTTGGTGAATCCACAGCTGACCGGCTTCTCTGCTGGTTATCTATAATGCAATACTGCAATGCAAATTCACATACGGCTGCCAATGACAGTCATCGCCTCGTGAAGTATGTCACATTTTACCTTGCAGGTGATCTCTCTGCATGACGCACTTCAAATGCGCCACAGTGAAAACTAAAATGTGTGTGAAGCCGTTGAAATGTTTGTAACCATTTCAAGAGCTTCGTTTGAAATCAAAGTCTATGGAATGGAGTTGATAATTAAATGAGAAGTCGTATACCGAAAGTCCGTATGTTCACCTTTCAGAGGAACATGTGCAAAATACATCAAACTCTACATTTCATCTCTTAAAAAAATAAACACAAAAAAGTTAAACAGCGTTGGCCCGGTTTGATCCTACACTGATCATGTATTCATTCTCAGCCCTGCAGCCAACGCTTTTCAATGTCAAGAATAAAGTCATTCATAGTAATAAGACCTTTAGTAATCGTGGTAGTAAATAATACTGTTGAGGGTTAACTGGAACATCTCCAGTCTATCTGCGCCATGCTGATCCCACTCCTAACAGTAGAGGGCACCAGAGTGATCACACCAGCTTGGGGACGCATCATGCAGACTGGAGAAGCAGTAACACTGGCTGGTCTCACAGATCAGATGGCTTGGGCTTCCAAAGGCTTCCTAGCCACAAGGTTTGCCTTTGTTCACAGGCATGTAAAGAAACAAAGAACAGTCTAACAGCTAGGAAGCTTTGGAGAAATCAAGCCCTGATCTTATTTATATATATCAACACTCCTCTGGTTTAATATAGATGTCATACAGAGCAACATTTATATACATTACACACAAACAGATTGGGCTGTTTCCTCGTACACAGACATCAGAGGGTATTTGGTTGCTGACAGCCACAGAACAGCTTTGGAGCATTGCTAGTATAAATGACATTAGTGCAAATACAACCCAAAAGAAAGAAGAATGGTAGAAAAAACATTGGTAGCAAGGTTGGGGCCCATTGGGGGACGAACAAATTCTGTGATAAGAGTGGCAGCGTGCAAGCTCTACATATAAGCGTGCATCAGGACTCGGCATTCTCTGGTTTGAAGTCTTTCGATTCACTCTTTTTCAACACATTTTTCTCCCCCGTCCTGACCCATCTGCTAAGCAAGGGAGCCGACTGAGAGTGCATGTGTGTTAGCGTGGGGAAATGGCTCAATTTGCTGGTAGTAACATTTATGGAGTGAAGAAGGTGAGCAGTGGGGGAAAAAAAACCAACAAAACAAAAAAACATTGATGTGTTAGAAAACAAAGGTGTTCTTAGATGTGATTGGATGGAGTGAGGTGATTGGCTCCTGCCGTATAAGAGTCCCAATGATCAACGACACCAGTTGAGCTTGTTTAAGCGTGTATAAGCTGTGCCGAGGAGGGCGAGGGTGAATGAGTAACAACAAAGAAATAAAGCCAATGACAATGACGTTTGGGCTCCTTGCCGACTTTGTGGACTAGTTTATACTCCACGTTGTCACAATGCTGAAGGTTTAAATATAAACTGTGGCCTCTGTTGCATTTATTTCCGTCCTCTCTATCTTCCGTCTTTTATCAGTCCGTCTGCACTGTGTGGTGTCCAATAAAGCAGTAATGTAAAAATTAGCTTAAAAATAACATTTCTTTGACAGTAATATAAAAGTTTGGCGATGAGGAATAGAATGTTTTTTTTTTTTTTTTTGCTGGGACCAGCCAAACAAGTTTGATTTAAATGTTGAAGCAGTCTAATCGTGAAAGCTTGACACATGAAATGAATGAGTTGTCCCATGTGAACCCACTGATTTGTTCACACTGCAACACTTAACCGGACCATTGCATGTATCCTCTGCTTAGCACCAGGCTTCAGGTCATGTGATGGCCTCAAGAAACAACATTCAGTCTCCGTTAATGCTTAGTATCCACTGATACACATAACTACTGTTGTCCAGCAGTGAAAAACAAAAAATCTATATCAAACTGAAGAAACTGTAGACTTTATGAAAGGTTAAGACTTGGTTTAAAATAGAACCATCAGTCATCGATAGTCTCTCAAAAGGGTTCAAACCTCTGATCCATTCCTCAATAAATCATGGCACATACAGGACTACAGAGAAACCCAAATGCTACAAAATGTACAGGAATAAAAGTAAAGCTGCACATACAAAGGCAGGATGGGAGCAACCACCACATTAAATGTCAGCAGTGAAATGAGAAAGACAAAACTGTGATTCTGGAAATGCCACTATAGGTCAAATGTCAATGTAGTCAAGAGTAGACAAACAAAGAAAATAAAAATAAGTGATGATCATTATCTTTCAGGATTTCACATTATTTAGAGATGATGTAGAGCTCCCAATTATTTCTGAGATGACATTACTGCATCCCCATTTTTGTGTCAAGTTTGAATCCGTGCCAAAAAAAGAAGAAAACAAAAGTTGTGCCTATGATGAAATCACTGCTGGCTTATCATGGGACACATTTAGATTAACTGTTGCAAGACAACTGCCTCACAAGTAGCAACAATTTATGAATTTGTAATCCTTGCCATTAAAAAAAAATACTGACTGATGAATATCTGCTTGGAGATTGTTCAAGGTTTTGTGTTTTTTTGTTGTTTTGTGTTTTTTGTTTTTTTAATGGCTATGAAGGAGTTGGATTTCTGACATGATGGAAGTGCCAATGGCTGGACAAGAAGAATATAAGCAGATGGAGTATTTAGATTGTGTTTACATGTGCATGCATGTATGTTGTGTGTGTGTGTGTGTGTGTGTGTGTTGAAGCTGTGGCTCAGAGGCTGCATGGAGGAGGAGAATGTTCCTCAGAATGAGAAGTGGGCTGGTCAGACTGTGATGATTGACCAGCAGATGACTCCTGGCTGTCTAGCATGGAGGCTGAGTTTAGCTGAGGAGTGGGCTCAGGTTCAGCAGGGGTCATCTCTGCTTGGGCGAGTACCTCTGAAGGTGAGTGGTGAAAGATGGGGGGGGTGAAGGTGTCAGGGAGAAATGGAGGAGTGTTAGGCATGTCCGATGCATCAGAGGTAGAGGAGGAAGACGAAGAGGAATGATCTGTGGTCAGCTGGGTCTGCAGAGAATCAGTCACACGTGGGGAAGAAGAACAAGAGGAAGATGACAATGAAGGCTTGACGACGTGCAGGGGCGCACAGGACGACGATGAGGATGTTTCTCCAGCTGACATGGCAGGTCCATTATCTCCCTCCTGTTGTACCGATTCCTCCTCTTTACCATCATCTGGTGGAGTGCCATCATCCTGCCTCATGTTGCCTGTGGCGTCTTCTTGCCCTGCAGGGTTCTGATTGGCCGCAGGGGTGTCTTGGTTGGGGACACTGGTGGCTGGTGTTTGGCTCTTTAATTGTGAGTGACAGAGAGGACATGTTTCCTGGACATACAGCCATTTCTTCAGACAGCCAGCGTGGAAGAAATGACTGCACGGGGTGATCACAGCACTGTTCATGTCCTGCAAGGAATCAAATTTCACATTAGCCTAGCTTTAATTTAAAGCCCAAATTGAATTCTTGGTCATGTACCCTCTTTAGATGTACACGAAACAGCTCATACCTGGTAGCAGATAGCACAGATGTCATTGTACTGCTCCAGCTGTGTGCTGCTAGCTGCAGGGAGGCTTTTGATCTTGTTTACAGCATCTCTCCGGAGCAGGAAGCTCTGCCAGCCCAGCTGGGCTCTGAGCCAGACGTTGTAGTACGAGTGGACGAGGATAATGGTGCTGCCCATCACACTCCACTCCCCAAATACAGTCTCTGACACGCCGTAGCACACCACACACACTGCAACCTGGTCAGGTAGAAAATCAGTGACAGTGAGAAACACGGATGCCATATTATATGACACTGCCTTTGTTACATGCAGCCTTCTCACATGTACTCCCCTGAGATACTGTATATGATGTTTGTGTGTGTGTGTGATGTACCAGAAACTCCAGCAATCTGTAGGTCCCATTGACACAGTAGATGACTTCATCCATGTTTTCTACTGGAGCTTTACGAAACTCCTCCACCATGAAGAGAACGTAGATCAGCAGAGTGCCAAGTACCTGTAAATGATGGACGAGACTTCTTTGTTGTAATTCAGGTCAATAATGAATGTTAAAGGATCCTTAGGCTGCGTAGTTCATATCGTGCTTAGCGCAGATTTTTATGAATACATTTGTCTTGTGGATCTGTAGATTGAGTCAAATTAGTATGATGACATACATTGTGATTTAAAGTCCAAAAACATTTTAACACAAAAAACCCAAGAGGTACATGATGAATTTTTATAGGCACCGTTGTGTACCTGCAGTGATGTGAGGATTGAAGAGGAGATGATGATGAGAAGCCAGAAGTCCATGTGGAAGAACTGACAGATCATATAAGCCATGTAGGCTGGAAAGATCAGCAGGAAGAGACACAAAGACACAGCTCGGAAGTGCTTCCACAAACTCCTACGGGAAAGGCAGCACAAACAAAACGGAGGCAATGAGGTTCATCTGCATCAATGTGGACATTTTGCTTACATGCATGCAGTCACGTTAGATTTCTTGCACTGTCTGTCTTTTTACGCAATAACAATTATGTCAACTAGTATTGAACTTTAAATGCAATGTCAAAATGCTAAAACGCAGAGAGCTGGCATTTATCATTTTACTCAGCAGAAATCCATTCAGGATCAGCATGAGGCACTCCAAGCAAATACTCAGAAGCAAAAAATACACCAAATCATTTTTTAAAGAAAGAAAAAAAACAAGGTGGTAAAATAATCTTACTTGTCTCTGGACGCTCCCAAGGCCAGGACTATGGGGTCAGCAATCTCCAGCATAGACTGAAGGATAGAAGCAACAACAATGAAGAGGATGATAGAGAGGAGGAAGGCTCGATGGATGACTTGAAGCTCAATGAGGCCAGTTTGGACAGCAAGAATCAGCAAGGTGATTCCTTCTGTCATCCCCCTGCACAGACAGGAAACAAAAAAGAAAACAGCTGTGAGTGAAAGTAGAAACACTTGCCAACAGACACCCTCAACCACGGGTAAACACACTTTGACTCACCTGTGCATGGTGTTGTCATTCATAAAGGCTCTGTAGCCTTGCAGGTAGAACTTGCACAGTGTGAGAACTCCCAGTGCGATGAAGGAGACAGTGAAGACCAGACCCAGCAGAGAGTAGGGAGTACTACAACATTCTGCAATACTGAGGGCAGCGATGGAGGAGAGAGCAGGAGGAGCAGAAAGGAGGAGAGTAAAAGCTTGTAACAAGACAGTCCAAATAAACACAAGAACCTTTGCCACTGCAAAGGTTTTAATTAAACTCTTGATGGGTGTATCATGTTAGTGCAATAGGCAACATCTGTTATAATTTAAGTCTGTCCGCAAGTACAAACCAACAGCCATTTAGGACTGCCCTGCTTGTACACTACTTTATTGATCAGATAACTGCGGAACTGTTGGTTTGGTTTGCTTGGAGTTCTTGTGGAATGGTAAGATGGTAGAGTGCATTTATGCTGCCATTCTCCAGAACAAGAATGAAATACTGGACTACCAGCAGGGCATGTGACTTAATTGCTCGGCATAAATTCCAAAAATGACAGTCTTGTCCTCTTAATACTAAATGGATCATACCAGGACAACAATAATACACAAATAAAGGGCCAACAACATGACATACCATGCATCAGTTCATGTTTGCTACAGGTATGCCCCATGTATTACTGCCATAAGCTGAATCACCATCACTCCATCCACAGATATACAATGGTTCCAGCTGTACAACAGCAAAAGTCTTTTGGCTGTTCAGTCTGCTGAATAGCTACATCTACGATAAAGCATTAACTCAATTCCAAGTCAGATTGCATGAACTTTGTGAATATTTTTAGACTCCAGATGAAGATTACTTATAATTTTCACTGAATTGTTGTCTACTGACACCATAAAAAATAAAAATAAAAAAAACTCTGACCAACTCATTTTTGACAAAGTCTCTCTAGACCGAATGACCTGATTTACATAATCTGCTTTTTCTTATGTTTCGTACTGTATGTTCACATGTTTTATATTACAGATGATGTCCTCTTTAATAAAGATAAAATACATTTTACCTATGTTTTCTATATCCCAATATAGTACCACATATTTCATTACGTAAATGGTAGTTAAGTACATCATATCTACACTCAAATTTCATACACTGCATGTGTCAAACAAACTATACGTGGCAACATCCATCTTACACAAAATGCACTCTAAAGGGTCTATGATGCACATTTTTATAATGTCCCTCACTGTCTGAAACATGATGCTATGCTATAGTCTCACCTGGTAAGAAATAGGAAAAGAAGCCTCTCCCTTGAGGTAGGCTGGTCTCTGGTGCTGAAGTAGGAGTAGATCTGCAGAGCGAACAGCAACAGCCAGAAACACATGAAGAGGACTGGAAGGACCAGCTGGTTCCACAGAGACATACCCAAAGCCAGCAGCCCGTACACTTCCACCACCTGGGGGACAGAAATGGAGAGTGTGATACAGAGAGAGTAGAGGACAGATGGAGGTAATTAGGACAAAGACAAAACAGAAGATATATTGCGTATAAGCAAATCTCTCAGAACTGATACACCTGAACTCCTGTAAAAAAAAAAAAAACTGATAAACTTGCAACATTAGGCCATATTAACAGTTCATTACCTGAGCCAGCTCTCTGTAGGCAGTTTTGGCCAGGTTATATGGTACCAGTAAGTTAGAAGCCAGGAAGTAAATGACCTCCAGGCCTGTGAAGATCATGGAGAACCTATTGATGAAAACAATGGTCTCCAGTGGGACAAGACATAGTCTGGCCACCAGAGGGAGGAGGTGAGCAGAGAATAGCCAAATCCTCTTGGTTTGCATCACACAGGAACATAGCGTACACACCACCAGCTGACCTAAAAGGAGATGCACATACACACACAGATAAACATGGATATACACACATGAATGCATCCACTGCTTCAGTATGATTTCAGAACAGTTTCTCTTGATTTGTCATTGTTGTGTAATTGAGAATACAAAGATCTTGTGTCAGAATAATTTTATCTGTCCCAGAGTGGTGATGTAACAACCACAAAAGACCAACAAACACTCAAAAGGAGGAAGAAGTAGCTCTAATCTCCCATCTCTCTCTACAACAGTGTATTTTTGTCACTGTAACCATGTTATTTTCGCTTTCTCAGGCTTTCACTGTGCAGTGAAATCAGCACTCAGTGTGGTCTATTTATAGCACAGGAGACTCCGTCCCTACTCTCTAGTAAGATGAAACCAGGTCCTATAAGCCCAGAGACGTGGCAGCAATTTCCATTTCCAAATGGACCAACTTTCAAAATAATAGAGTGTAGTCATTGTTTTTTTAGCAAGATTTGTGACAAGTGTGGCCGGGTGATATGGCCTTACAGGGATGCTCAATACTATAGTCAACCCACTTCTAAACTACTAACTACTACTTCGAAAATACTGTATTAACAACTGAAACATGCTGGTCTTTACCAACTGTTTCCTAACACAAAGACTGAGGCACATACATGTTAAAGAGCTGCAACTGTAGAGCTGGTAAAAGTGTAGTGCTTTCCTTAAGGATGATGGATTCTTGCTGTTATAGATGTTAGAGGGGTTCAGTTTCTCTGTTCCCTATACTATTGTGTTGCAAGTGACAGAAGATCTATGGAATTCATTTTCCCCACAGTCTGTTTCCTAGATATATGTGCAACCCATGAAGTAAAGTGGAAGAGCAATCAAATCGAAAAAGAAAAATATCCTGTAAGCTCAAGTCTGGGTCTGTGTACTACGCAATCATAACTCATCATGTATACTGTGCACACATATCTTCCTGCATTCGTGTGTAATATTATACCTATGAGCGCAGTGGTGAATCTGTTCATGGAGAGAGGTTCCAGGTAGACAGGTCCTTCATAACCAGACTCCAGTTCACTGCGAACATAATCCCTGACAAAGAGAGGTCAAAATGCTCAACATACAGGAAAATCTATATTGAGCTTTTACATACCATTGACACACAGTATAGTTCAACTCCAACATGTCTAGCCCTGTACATGATCTAACACATGAGAAATCCACACTAGCCAGTGATATGTTTTGTAGGTAAATGCAGTACATTACACTGTACACTGGCTGCTCCCTATGGGCTACAATGTCCTTGTAAATCTAATAATGACAGAGTGGCATACATGTTTGTTTTTTTTATTCCTGACAAAATACAGGACCTGAAAATGTCACTTTTCCAATTTAAGTCTACCTGAGAGTCAGAAATAACTTGAGCTCCAGGCACCAAACAAACATTTTGTCATTAAAGGCATTCAAAACACTATCAGAACTACGGGATAGCGGCATCTTATCGTGTCTACAGGTGGATTTATGTATGTTTGTTTCTGTGTACCTTGAGACTTGGTGACCAGCGAACAGCAGTAGGGCCGTAAGAACATACAAGTAGAGTTTAACCAGGTGCTGACGAGGCAGAGTCAGGAGCACCAAGCTCAGGATGTAACCTGTGAGGCATATGAGGCACACATAATAAAACACAGCATGAATGAATAGAAAAAGCACATGCAGTTTAGAGGCATCACTACTTCTTCCTGTTTTCAATTACTGAACTAATATATTGAATGTGTATATGTGACAGATGTTTCTTATGTAATTGCAGGGAGCTATTTTTGACAACCAATCAAACAGTCACTGCTGTAAACAGCCTAAGCATAGAACAGTTGACTTCCTAAAACCGTGTCCTAAAACTCTTCAATGCATAGCAACAGTTTCTTTGGTTTTACTGCCTAACTCCCTCGTTATTCTGTCCACCCATAGTGCTCATCAGCACATACCAAGCCTGTTGGCTCATTAACCAACTGCAGCCAAGTTTGAGAGCACACACAGCCATATAAAAACACAGACAAAGAAAACCCAGTGCTGTGCTTGTTGGTATTCTTTTAGCTAGCTTAAACCACAATTTGACCATGAGGCTTTGCTGTGTCAACCCCACTGTTACTGTCTTTCAGTGCTTCTTTGTCACTGGCAGTGCACCTGCCTGCCTGTTAGTGCTTCACAGACCTTGCTTCGTCCCTTCACAAGTGCCTCTGTGGCAATTTCACTCATTTTTTAATGAGTGTTAGAGCATTTTGACCTGTCAAACAACACCTGGCAAAATGGTGCATCATTACCTGGGTCAAATGGGTGATAGCAGCTGAAAAAGCCTGACATGTAAACATATTCGCTGATCAATATTTCTGGGAAAATGTCTTAATAGAACTGACAACAACATAGTCACGGTTTAGTTCAGTAGTTCAGGGATTCAAGAAGAGTGTTTTTAAAGCCACAGTTGACTTTTATATTGTTATGGATTTATATTGTTTATATATTGCTAATATCGTCTATTTAATCATTTCACTACGTTCACCACTGTTGTTGCCAGCTTGTCTGAGTATCAGTGTGAAAAATGTTAATAAGTTATGGGTTTCTGGGAAAGTTAGTAGATGAATGCACTTTCTGACACAGGGAAGAATGGCAAAACCAAAATGAGATTTCCAATACTACAAGACATACAGATTTTTAGCTTAATTGTACACCTAAGAGATGCAGACTTCCAGATTTCTGTCATTATTTTAGAAACCAATTTCACTTATAATCTGTGGACACTAGCCCCTATTTCAGAGATACTGTTTAAATTTCCAGCATACAATTCCAGACACATATGCCTCTGCTTTGGGCAATTGTTCTGGTCAAAATCCTGAAGTGTAGGTAGGTGTTAAGTTGCTGAGGCATCATGTAAATTGTTGGGGAAACTGCATGAATCCCACTCTTTGTGAAGTTGTTCACTGGCACATAAAGATGAAAATAAACTGAAGTGTAAAGGGCCAAAGAAAATGTTTGATACCATCCATGCATTATCTATACACCGCTTTATCCTCACACTAGGGTCATGGGGGGCTGGAGTCTATCCCAGCTGACTTAGGGTGAAGGTAGGGGACACCCTGAACAGGCCGCCAGTCTATCACAGGGCTACACTTAGAGACAGACAACCAAGCACACTCACACCTATGGACAATTTAGAATCACCAATTAACCTCAACATGCTTTTGGACTGTGTGGGAGGATGCTGGAGAACCCAGTCTGCATGGGGAGAACATGCAAACTCCACGCAGAAAGATCCCGGGTGTCCTCACCGGGACGTGAACTGCTGAACTTCTTGCTGCGAGGCAACGATGTTAACCACCGAGCCCTGTTAGATACCAGTTCAGAGCTAATGTAGGTTGCTATTCCCGTAACACCTCTTTAATTTGTAATTTTTCTGTTTCAATCAAAGCCCTTTCTTGTGTTTAACAGGGCTATCTACACACTTAACACTGGTATTCACACTAACTGTGACTCACAACTGTCTCACACTGCTGGGATGTCACAGATGAGACAAGAACTACACAGCTGCATGAGCAAAACTGGACTCAAGCATCATTCATCCATTTTATTATTTTGCCACCGGGTAAATCAGGTGGTTTTGGTCACAATGCACTTGTTGTCATGCCAAATAATCCCTTTTGGCTGCTGGGAAACCACTACAAAGCCCAGCCTCATGGCTTATTACTCACAGCAACGTGTACATTTTTAAACTTATCAAGATAGGTACAGAGGGCTGACACTGCTAAAAAGAAATTCTGAAATTTAAAAAAAAAAAGAAAAAAAGACATACAATCACAACTGGTGGCACTACATGGCCTAAAACTAGCTATGATGCAAATCATGATAATTTCACATAACTGACCAGTTACTGCTCTTTATGTATGTGTTACGATATCAAATGTGTTAAATGCTGTGTGATGAAGCCAGTGCAGAGAATTTGCATAGTGTCTTTTTTATTTAAACTATCAAACCAGTATTAATACAGAAGGGATAGTTATGCTGGAAAAGGCTGTGTGCATATGTGGAAGTGTGTGTGATACAATAACACTGACCGACGTAGTGCAAGTAGAGTGCCAGGTACTTGTACTGAAACAGGGGGTTGTTGGAGAGACTGGAACGCTGGATCTTCTGAAAGAAGGAGCTGACATCCCAGCGATACAGGACATCCAGCAGCATAATGCTGGGAACACGCAGACCCACATTGAGCACAGCCTCTACACGGTCCTTCAGTGCCATGGCCTCAGCTTAATCTCTGATCAGCAGGCAGAACTGACCACTTAGACGTGATGTTAACAGTGGGTGCTCTGCAGAGGAAAAAGAGCACATTCAACAAGAAAAATTGAAGACACAAATTTATTATGATCCAGTTATAGAGGATGAGAAATGAGAAAGAATGGTATAAGTCAACAAGCAGCAACATAAAGGGGGATTAATGACGGTCAGAGAAAGACAGAAAGCCACATAGGAAGTGTGGAAGGAAAAACAACTAATTTCACAAAAGGAAGATTGTAGCCAGAAAACTGGCTCTTTCATTCACCAGCTACAGCCAGAAGCAAATGTAAAACTGCCCAATTGTTATACTATGAATGCAAATTATTTTACTCATAGTAGTAAAGTTTTATTGTGGTTGGCAGTACAGATAAACTATTCAGCAACAGCAAATGTTTTCCAGCATGTGGCATATGAGTGGTGTTAAATTCCCCCCTAATAACAATTATTACACATAACATTTAATGAACAACACTTAGAACTGATGCGAACCAAATGTCGATTATTCACATGCAATATCACTGACTCTCATCAGACAGTTAAAACATTCAATGAAGTCATCGATGTATTACAATTATATGACGAAGCCAACCTATAAAGACTGTTTCGCTTACACTGAAGGCTTTAACTATTGGCACACCATTTGCATCATCAAAACAGTCAAAAATGCTAAAATACTACAATGAAACACTGAGAAATATCTTAACTAAGAATAAACAGAGCTCCCTAAAAATAACTGAACAAAACACTAGCTTCGTAGGTACCAGAAGTACTGATGTACACTCAGAAATACATTTGTATTTAGCTTCACATGACTGAGCGTTTCACTGAAACAATGTTCTGTATATGTTTTCATTGTTCAACACCGTTTATATTGTACATACTGCTACAGGTGCCAGAACCCAAATTACAGCCTTAAGTATGCTATACTTAGCAACAAATTTAGTAGCGCATTTCTGCTTCTAGTGATTTTGTAGCTTGTGGCCATCAACAACACCAAACACTACTACCTGATGCAACTAGCTTTCTTTACCATCTTCCACTCATACAGGAATGCAGGAAATATAATCTTGAGGGGGGAAAAAAAGCATCTTGTCTACAACTGGCTGTAACCATCAAGAATCCACAGGAATACTGCTCAGTTGTTCCAATGAAGAAAAGCTTCCCCCATTATAATTTACATAGTCAAATCTGTCAGTTCATAACCAATCTAGACAAGTACATGCAAATAACTCCAGGTCTTTCTGTTTGCTTCCACATAATAATTACCAGCACAGAACTTAATATGAGTACAGCACAATGACTGTGAAAATACACTACGTGGTAACACTTTCAGGTGTTTTTATGCAGGTGCGATTCAAAGGTCAGGTTTGATAAATGAGGTGTACTTGCAAAATCTGCTTATTCGCATCCTTAGTTTTTCTTACACTGTCCTGTTACACTGGCATAATGGTTACACTGCTTCATGCCAAACAAATTTAGAGATTCATTTACACCTTTGCAGCACTGTCTTGGTGTGGTGAATATAAACATTTCTAAAACATTTTTCAGAACTCATTAGAAAAAACAGTTTATTTGCAAAACATTAAATATCAGTCCAAAAAAAAAAAAAAAACAGTCCTGAAGTACTTCACATCATATTGATGTCAAAAACCCACTATTAGGGCCCGGCTGATTATAGCCCTTTTCAAAATACTCATCATGGAGTTTTGGCGATTAATCGCCGATATATTCTTAATTTCTCTGGAAACAGTAAATGCTGTTAAGCGTCACAGTTGCTTTCATACATTCATTTTGTACAATTTAATTTAGTAAAAAGACAAATATTCTCCAAGGAAAAATCATGTTAAACACCTCAGCAACACCACGAAAAGCTCAGTTTTTGCTGCTGCTTGTTGTAAACAAGTCAAACTTGGCTCAGGGAAATGAAGAAGAATTAAGATAGCTTAAGAATGTACAGCAGTAAGATCACTGACTGTGCTGCAAATTCTGAAACCAAAACAGCGCATGGAGCGCTCGCTCTGACGTGTTTTCAGAGAACTTTTTAAAGTTTTTATCCAACTTGTTAACTAACTTATTTAACTTATATTTTTATTAACGTATTCTCATCGACTTTAAAGACAGCACAGTCTTTGAGAGTACAGAACATCAGAGGGGTGCATGAATAATGTTCTGCCAGTAACTTCACTCATTATGCTGCTTATATACAGCATAAACCTATGGCCTAAATCTAAAGATAAATTCATCAGTACAGCTGGAATGGATGCATGCTTCATAGAAAGAAAAATGCACAATACAAATTTAAAAATAAAACACCCCACATGACAGACATATTTGTTTCAAAAACCTTTTTTTGTTTGTTTTTTAACTGATGCATATTATGTTTAATCCTTGGTTGCATGTTCTTGTAGTAGAAATTCCTCTCTGTTGTAAAGTTAAACAAATACTAATGGACAAAGTATTGTAACAGTAAAATGTTCTGCCTGTGATTCATATCTTTTATCTCTATCGGCCTTATAAAGTTAATATTGGTCTGGCCCTACCCAATATTACCATTAAACTGCCCTGCTCATTAATTTGCAATTTTGTCAGGCCACAACAGCCATATACAATCAAAGATATTGAGGGGATAATGCCTGGGAAAAAAGCGATGTCAAGAGACACTTTGTCATTTGCAGAAAGAGAACTGGTTGACAGTTCCGCCTAAATGTATTAGATGCAAACCACCATGAAAGCACACAACGAAAACCCAAAGTCCAGTTGCATGAACAAACCTTGCATGTGTTCTTTCTCTGGCTCATAAAAACGCTGTAATTTCCCTTCATAATGGAGCTTGCTACGAGTGACAAGCAAACAGCAAATCCTTTAGCAGGTGTGTTTTTCAGCTGCACCATCAACATGTGACACAACAGAAACGGTGTGGAGTGACCAAATCTGTGACACTGCATCTGTCGTCAATGTTTATTATCTCTGTGACTTGGTAAGTGGTTAAATTCAAAGCAAGGTGGATAAACTGATTTTTTTTTTTCCCCTCTTGGTCTTTATTAAAAATATATTGTTAAAAATATGCATATTGCCTGAAACTGAACATATTCTAATAATATTTTTTTAGATAAAAAGGGAATACACGCCAAAACCATATGGTAACTTCTCAGGTGATTGACATTTCTATAATCTCACAGTCATCTCACTTAACCAACACTATGTATACATCCATGTAATTCAAGAGCAAACAGTTTAAGCTTTAGATGATTATCACATACCACAAGCAACATGAGTCATAATCTTCAATCACTTCAAACAGTGTTCTGCCTGTATATGAAACCATTTTACTTCTCATACTTAGAAGTGCTGCTGTCATTAGCAACAGAAAAATACTACATAGTAGCTTAGACATTACAATGCTTACTTATTTACTAAAGACGGCAATTCTGTTTTATATCCTTTCCCTTACTGAATCCTATTACAGCTGCTGCAACACAACACTTAATTTCCCGTAAATCAAATCAGCTGTTTCATTTCAAACAGGGGTGTCCAATCCTGGTCCTCGAGGGCCACAATCCTGCATGTTTTAGATGTTTCCTTCTTCCAACACACCTGATTTAAATGTTCAGCTCGTCATCAAGCTCTGCAGAAGCCTCATAACGATCCTGATTTAAAACATCAACACAGCTTCCTAACAAGACTGCTTGATTCCAACTTCATTTAAAGCAAAAACACTAAATACAACCATTGTGTGTCCCCGTCTAATTTAATTATCAAAGTGATGACAACCCTCTCATCTTGATCCTAAGTTACTCAAAGGCAACGGGAGTGTTCTGGTCTTGTCAAATTGAGTGATTCTGCTGTGGGTTTCATGTCAAAATTGTCCATTGCAAACCTGCTTTTTCTCATGTTTAAAGACTTAAAAACCTCCAGGGGATTAGTCATTGTTAACTTGGCCTTCACTTAAATGCACTGGGGCTTGAGTAAATTCAAAGTAACATTGAGGGAAATTCCAGCAACACGAGCAGCAGAATGTTGCCCTTTATTTAATCCTTGCAGAAAAGAGGTCCCGCAGTCGTTTCTGAAATTCTTGGTTTACAACCCTGCAATTCAGTTCCTGCAAACGACCCTTTCACATGAGAGTTCTGCATGAAGCGTCAGCTGCTCAACACGCGTTAATTTCCAGCAGACTAAAGTTTGATCGTTCTACCTCAAGCGTCTGATGTGCCACTTAAAAGACAGGTTTCCACTCTCTGCATAAAGCTTGACACCTCTTCAAAGTTGCTAATGGCAGAGTTACCATCAGTTAACGTCCCTGCAGCCCGGGATAGGATCCTGATAACTTACATAACTGTGGATTCACCACGACTATCACTGGCCAGACAGAGATCACTTCGCAGAATCCGAACTTATATAACGCGGCCGAGTAGTACCACTGTATTTTTAACAGCGGTAATCCATTCACAGCTACAGACTGTGGCGCGGCAGTCTAAATTGGTATATTTGTACCATCAGTCGCTTAACTCAGAAACCGGCACCGCAAACGTTATGGATGAGTGAGTGCTGCATCGACTGTGGTACGCCATGAACTCTAGTAACCCCTCTGTCTCGACGGGGGAAAAAAAATCTCTGAGCTAACGCCGCAAAAGACTGCAACACTTTGCTACTAGACGGCTCCATACGTTGCAGTATAACATAGGATAGAAAAAGCAAATACACGAATTGTGTTTCCATATACGTAGCTAGTTAAGTTCGGAATACTGAAGGGATACAAATAGCTAGCTATGATAGTGTACGTGCCGTGTGGAGATGATGAGCTGCATCGAGCAGGCAGCAGGCACAGCGCCAACAATCCAAGCTAACGCTGTCAGCTAGCATCGCTGTCAGTTAGCGAACTAACTACTAACAACAACCAAGCTCACTTCTACACTAATAAAACACATCCGACGCACTGGCTTGCACCTAACTGAGCCACCGGCCTCCACAAATATTCACAGGGAAGCTTACAACTTAAAACATTGTGAAGCTTAGCACGAACTAGCCAGTTAAGTCCAACTGTAGCGCAGCTAGCAAATCGGACTGTTGGAGATCCTGAGCCAGCTACGGCGCCCAGCCAAGAATGAAAAGAAAAACAAGAGAACTTACATTTGAAGGACGATGTTCGCACTATGTACAACGGTTTCGGGATGTTTTTCGGGTCGGATATCGACCATTTTAACTCGGCACCGCCCGAGTTAACGGTCCTCTCGATGGGAGCGCTTCACACAGAAAGGACGCGGCCCATCCGCTCATCTTACCTAGCAGCCATTACCCGTAGTACCGAGAAGGATGTACTGGGCATGCGCAATACCGTCTGTCCCATTAAATCTTTTCGAAACTGGAAACTGCAGCTGGTGGCCTGACTGGACCCTGATATTTAGGCTGTAATCGGGGCATCCAGCCAAGACACATTTTGATATTGGAGCTGTTTTTATTTCATGTATTATATAACTGTAAATATTTGTTGCATATACTGTTAACTTTTATTTTGGGCCATCGGAAGAGTGACCAAGATACCCACTAATAAAGATCTAAATATACAACAAGAGACAAGAAAAAAAATATAACCAGACAGGGACTGCTACAGATGTGATGTTTTCTTGTCACATCAAAGTAATGACAAATGATGCCAGGGAATCTTACTGCATGCACTGGACCAGAGAAAGAGAGTTTATTTACACAAGTACCGACAAGCATCCATATACAGTCGTCCTCAACTTTATTCATAATCTTCCACTAAAGAAAAGTCAAAATTCACAATAGTCACGGAAATAAATAGAAACTAAAAAAATAATAATAAATAAAAAATTTGCTAAATTATAATTTAGTGAAATGAGACATTGCTTTTCCATTGCAGTTGAAAAGAATAATTAAAAAAAAAAAAGAAAGAAAAGAAACTGTCCCAGACAAACCAGAGCACTTTGCTGATGAACAGTGGGTCAAAATCAAAATACCTGTTAACAGGTGTAGAAGTCTGATTGAGAGTTACAGAAGACACTTGATTGCGGTGATTGCCTCAAAGAGTTGCTCAACAAAATATTAGTTTACAGGTCCCATCATGCTTGTTTGCTTGTTTTGTTTTTTTGTTTTGTTTTGTTTTTTATATTTCTGTTGAACCACAATTCAAAAGCAATGTCATTATTTTCATAAAATGTTTATTTATTATTGCTTTTGTCATTTTCAACTTATTTCAGTGAGAGCTTTTTTTCCCCTTCTTTATTTGGAAGGTATGAATAAATTTAAGGACAACTGTAGCAACGTTTACAGCACACAACAATAACATCTCAAATTACTATATTTCACCAGAATAATACCCTCAATATCACTGCTCCCTTCTGGAGGTACGTTATGTTAAAAATAACCAGACACTGAACCAATTCTATATCATCTCACCTGAATTAAATATTGTGTCACTGGTGTTTCAAATTTGTGATTAATCTGAAAAAAATGTCTAAAGCACAAAATGAGCTGTAGGCAATTTAATGTTAAATGTTCTTTTTGACATGATGAAGAAAGTAAGTGAAAACATTTAAACAATTTATGCTAACTTTAAAGTAGTTTTAAAATCCACTGTAAATACATTTTTAAAATGTAAAAAATAAAAATAAAAAAAAAAGAAGAAGAAAGTATTTCATCACCTGGAGTGTCAAAAACGACTATAAAACAGTAAAACAGTAACTTTCCATATTTAAAACATAGTTTCTCGCCCCAATTTTACATAACGTATATTTGTATGTGTGTAATGTTTTGGCTTTTTTAATGTTTCAGGGAGGATATTCGCAAGTAGAAACAATAAAATGAGACATAAACCTTATAAAATAATGTTATAATAGAAATAATTAGGTTTAATACAGCAGAAAATTGTTGAAATATTTTGTCAAACTAGAAATTCTATTTAAAAGTGCAGTAATATGCAGTTTATTTTACGTCATATCAAGTTTATTATTACATGTAATTTCCATAAAAATAAAAAACTATATCCACTATATAATAAATGAATTTACCATTGAAAAGAAGTTAGTAAACAAATATTTATTATTATAATTACAATTAAAAAATACAAAAAATGTTTACATTATTGTACATATAAATTCATAGCTTATTGATTTTTTTCGTGTAATTGGGGGGAAAACAATTGTATAATAAAATTTTTATTTTGGAAAATTGCTTAAAATTATTGTTTTTCGAACAGTGTAGGGAACCAGTGTTTTTTTTTTTTCTTCTTTTCTTTTCTTTTTTTCTCGTCGTTTCTTTAAAAATGACACAAACGTAAAGTAAGTAAAAGCAATCGTGCTTTTTGTTCTTTCTTTTCCTTTTTTTTTCTTTGCAAGATGCCATTTAAGAGAAACGTAAGTGAAAACGTCCATCAAACAGTGGTAACGGTCTCTATGGTAACAACGCTTTTTGTCTCTACGTCACTACCGTAAAGAATCGGGACGCCAGGAAGAGCGGAGTGTGCGCCGCTCGATGAATGAAACTGAACGGCAAACTTAATTCATTCATTCAACTTTTCGACGAAATTTGACAGTGTTTACCCAACATTGCATGTTAGCTGCTTCTACCAGGTAAGTGTACCCGAGCCGCGGCGTTCAGTCAGCTAATGTTTTGCTAGTCGGCTGGTTACCCGGCGTGTTTACATTGCTGCTAGTCAGCGTTAGCAATCTCGTGCTAAAAATATCAACACAGTCAAAGTGTCTGCTTTGATTCGGTGACATTTGGCTGTTGTGTCTTGAAATATCCAGCCAAAACAGCACACGCTTAACAATAAAGATGTTACGTTTTGCTCTCTGTGTTTCATCGTTAGCTACTTTCTGTGTTTTGCCTCCAGCTACAGCCAGTTACAGTGTGGCATCCTGACATCTCTCCTCTTACTTTGCCTATTCCCTCCTCTCTGCAAGGTGTGCATGTTTGTCACTGTTGCTGGAAATACTTGCTTAAAGGTGTGTGCACTTGTCTATGAGCGTGCATACCTAGCTTCAGCCGCAGCCCTGTGTTTGTGTGTGTGAGTGACGAGCCTGTGTGAGCCATGTCGGTGTCAGTGATCATAAAGTGGGGAGGTCAGGAGTACTCCATCAGTTCTCTGTCTGAGGAGGACACAGTGATGGACCTGAAACAGTCCATTAAGACCTTGACTGGGGTGCTGCCAGAGAGACAGAAACTACTGGGACTCAAGGTCAAAGGTGAGAGGGCGCCACTGATCACAAGTGTGTTATTCCTGGACAAACTAGTGTAAATTACCTCATATGATATTCAATCCAAGTCAACAAGATACCAGGACTTTTTTTTCCCTCTGTTGTACCTTTCTATTACTGTTCACTATGTTTAATAAACACTCTAGAATGTAGTAAACTTAATTCACTGCTACATTTCCCCAAGCCTTGGCAATGCTAATCCACATTCATAATCACTGAATGTTTTATATGTACAAATATGTCAATTTCACTGTTACCAGCTCGAGTGTCTTTTTTTCTGTGTCTGCAGGCTATGTAGTCTATAAATTACTTAATGTTGTAGGATTGTGCAGGTGTTTTAGCTAAATGGATCTCCCTCTTCTCCTTTTTTTCCCCCTCCCCCCGCCCCCATTCCTGATTCCAGGTAAACCTGCAGAGGATGAGGTGAAGCTGGGCTCTTTGAAGCTGAAGCCTAACACCAAGATCATGATGATGGGCACCAGAGAGGAAAGCCTGGTAGGTGTGAAGATGGGGGAAAAAAAAGAGATATCTAGAAAGATATCTAGTTGGGACTCGGTTAACTAGCCATGTGCCTGAGTGACTGCACAATTTTCAGGTTTACCATGCATGATAGTTACTGAAAGAGGAACCCAAGTGAGCATGCTTTCAGTCAAAGTGCTGTACATAGAGATCACAACAACATGACAATAAAAACATCAGAAATTCACAAACATATGCAAACATACTGAAACAATAAAAAGGACATCAGTAAAACAAGCAATTTAAGACTCATATGTAGCATTAAACAAGTGGGTCTTCAGCTTTGTTTTAAATACATCAATGGAAGATGCCTGCCTAATTTCAACAGGTAGACTGTTCCACAATGTTGATGCATGGAAAGAAAAAGCCCGTTCCCCAACCGTCTTTCTACGGACCTTTGGGACACTCAGAGGCCCAGTCCCCTGCCAATGCAAAACACGAGTGGGAACATATGTTTTCAACAAATTTGACAGATACGATGGGGCAGTTCCATTTACAATTTTATGCATTAGCAGCACCATCATAAAGTCTGTGCTAACCTGAACAGGTAGCCAGTGCAGAGCGGCTAGCACTAGAGTGATATGCTCATAATGAACTTGCAGTGTCATGATTTTTGTGGGCTCACCTGTTGTAAACAAGCCACTTGGATAGTTTGTTGTCTGAGATCCTGAGTCATATTATTTCATAACTTTTGTCTTGACTGAAATACTTGTGCATGTGTTTTTTTGTGAAGGAGGAGGTTTTAGCCCCTCCACCAGAAAATGACGACGTTGTCAATGATTTTGACATCGAGGAGGAAGTCATTGAAGTGGAGAACAGGTGAGATATTTTTATGTGTCTCTGGCAATTTAGAAAGAAGGAAGATTTTCAGAAAGGGTGTCGGGAAATGCAGCTTTGTGTATGTGTATGTTTGAGAAACAATTGTTGTTCTGTGTCTTCAGAGAGGAGAACCTGGCCAAAATAGCCCGCAGAGTGAAAGACTATAAGGTGGAGGAACTGAATCCTCCCAGAGAAGGCAAAAGGCTCCTGGTACTGGATGTGGACTACACACTGTTTGGTAAGTTAATGTGATACCAACATTTGTCTCTTTCAGAATCAGACTGGGACACCTCTGACTGGATGGGTTATAATATATTTGCTGTAGTTTGACTTTTACAGGACACAACATCATATCTTAGTTTAAAACTGCATCTTAATAGTATTTTTTTTCACATGTGCATAGGTACATTTACAGACTGATATGAAATCTGTGTTTTCCCTTTTCTGTTAATGCTCCCAAGAACATTTATTTAGTTACCACTTTGTCTAATAAACGTAATAATAAAATGCAATATTACTGTGTGCACTCTTTTGACCACCTTTACAAAATAAGCAAAATGCAGTTTTTATATCAGTCTGTGAATGTACATGTGCACATGTGAACAGTTGCAATCCAGTTTTAAACTAACATGTAATGTTGTGTACTGTAAAAGTAAAACTACATGAATACTGTGTGATCCATCATATGTGCAGACTCTTTTTTTCCAGATGACGTATATATTTTCGGCTAGCATGTAGACATCGTGCTTTTTTTTTCAGATTAAGGGCAGTTAAAATGAAAATCCATCACTGTTTGTCAGTGTATCAGTTACTTGTTTAACCTTAGACACTGTGCTTTGGTCCTGTGTGTGTTCAGATCACAAGTCGTGTGCAGAAACGGGTCAGGAGCTGATGAGACCATACCTTCACGAGTTTCTGACATCCGCCTATGAAGACTATGACATTGTGATCTGGTGTATGTATCTTCTCCTCACTCTATCAGTGGTTCATTTGCTTCCTGACACAAGTTAGAGGACAGGCTTTTCATACCTGGTCCCAGATACAGTTTTGTACAGATGTGACTGGTTAATTATCTAATAAGCATCTGGCTCGCTGTAAGGACCAGAGCAAAAGGCACTGGTGCTTCAGATGCTGAACTACTGTTCAGAGGTCTGGTAGCTGTGTGTCTAAAATTAGAGTTCACATATTTTAAAATGGTGTCAAATCTTGAAAAATTAGTTTCTGTTTGGGGAGTTGGAGATTTCTGTGCCCTGTAGCTCAGAGGTCACTTGTGCTGGGTTTCTGATTAAATGAAAAGCCTGTGATTCATATCGGGAAAGAGAAGGAATACACAGCGAGAGGGAAATGTACAGAGTTTGGGTCTTTATTCTTCAATTCAGCATCATGATTCTTACATTTATTACTGCAATCTTAACTGATATGTGTGCTTTCTCTCTTTAGCTGCTACAAGTATGAAGTGGATCGATGCCAAAATGAAAGCAAGTATTCCACTTGTGTGTTTTTTTTTTTTTCTTTTAAAGGTGTAATTTTCATCTACTTTCGATGGAGCAGTTTTCTGCTAAGATACTATACATTTTTTGCCAAAAGGTGGCAGTGTTCATCAACTTACAGTAAGTTACAGTATTTGTGTATAGATGGGATCAGATGATAACACTGCTGTGTGTGTGTGTGTGTCTGTGTAGGAGCTGGGAGTGACAGACAATCCAAACTACAAGATTACGTTCATGTTGGACAGTGCCGCCATGATCACTGTACACACCCCTAAGAGAGGGGTTGTGGAGGTGAGTGCACACACACAGCTGAAGATCCGTTCCACTGCTTTGGTCACACATATTACTGATGTGAACATCTTTCAGTATTTAGATTTGGAATTAGGGTTTGTCTCATGTGATATATTTTAATATTTGTACCTTTTGTTTAACTTTGAATGATAGATTGCACCTTTATCTGTGGTAAATAGTTAATTACCTTTTTACTGTGGCTTTAGACAACATATGAGAGAATATCACCTTGTCCCTAAAACTGGACTTGTATCAACAATATAAAGTGTCGCACATGCATCACGCTAAATAACTCTGTCAGTGCTCAGAGCTGTGCCCTGTCTAAGATATATATATATATATATATATATATATCTTGCATGCTATCACCAAAGTTTCAGGTGTGACTGCATGTGGGGCGACACTGTGTTTTTAAGTGTTTGTGGTGACAGATCAATTTCAGAAACAGACACGCACATGTGCATATGCAGGAATAGCTTTCCCTTGATGGTGTTTTTGGCTGAGGTTTGTTGCTTTGTGAGAGGCACTGGTTTAGTGCGTTTGATGGCATACACATTTCCAGGTGAAGCCCTTGGGTGTGATTTGGGGGAAGTACGGAGAATTTTACAACAGGAAAAACACCATTATGTTTGACGACATTGGACGAAACTTCCTCATGAACCCGCAGAATGGACTAAAGGTAGGTCGCTGCCCACGTCACCTTATTTTGACCTACTTTTCTTCCTCCACGTCATAATTTTCCTCACATTCTGTTGTGTGAATGTGCATAGATCCGGCCCTTCATGAAGGCCCATCTCAACAGGGAGAAGGATAGGGAGCTGTATAAACTGGCTCAATACCTCAAAGAAATTGCCAAGCTTGAAGACTTCAGCGGGCTCAACCATAAACATTGGGAGAGGTAGGCAAATATGCTTAACAGTAATAAGGACATTTTGCATATTGGTACTGAGATATTAAATGTTCACATAATAAACCAAAAACCATTCAGAAACATGTAACTCATCTGATCTGCACTCTGAAAGTGAATGAGCTCTTATAATTATTTTTATAGTGGTGTGAACTGTGCTAAACATGCAAGGTCCCTTTTCCTTCCTGTAGATTTGGTGTTACCATGGCCAGGTTTTCCAGAACAACAGAAATAAAACCTGCATCTTTCTTTATGTGAAAGAACATTTAACACAGAGGTTTATATGCAGAACATTAAAGCAGTCTGAATTTTGAAACAGCAGAGTTAATTCTTCATGATTTGTCTATACAACAAAATAAGGAAAACAATACACTTTTTGCAACGTATTACCTAAATGTTTTTACATACTATGCACATTTCAAATATGGATAAATTCACTAGAATATTTCTGCAGGATGCACTCAACATGTGTGCATGTGTTTGTTTGTGTAGGTACCTTTCTAAGAGGCAGCACCACTGAGGAGGAGCTGTATCCTCATCAAAGACTTGGGCTGGATGCAACCATCCCATCATCCAGTTCTCACACACAGAACACACGCACACACACTTGGCTATTACAAGTCCTTGATCCCGAACCTTACAATTAAATCCGACACTAACTCTGCAGCTGCCAACAGTCAGAGGTGCAGGACTGAGATGGGCTTCCCAGTTTATATATTTGCATGTTCTCTGCCTCTCCCTAGTCTGGAACTTTTTCTTTTTTCTTTTCAAAATATGATTTGCATTTGCTACAATAACACTGGCAGTGACTACCAGTCTGCAGCATAGATTGTAAAATATACCAAGCCTGAAGCCACACTGATTTTGAGGAGACAAACTCCAGCTCAACCACCAACTTACGGTGTTCAGTCAGGTGTTAAACATACATGATGAATTCCACAGTTGCCTGGAAGTGTTTGAGATCTTTTGCACCTGCTTGGTCTTCCAGATGGGCGACAGCATTTTCACATAATAGTAGTGTGAGGTTGCTTGTCACAAAAAACAAGGCATACTCTCCTGTGACTGACCATTCTCTCTGCTATACCAAGCAAGTAAAAACAGATACAAATATTATTTCACCATGCATGGTTAAGGTCCGTAGGCAACTGAAGTGTTACATATTGTGTATTCTGAAGAGACAGATTGAACACTGATCAGCCAAAAGGCATTCAACAGCAAAGAATAAGTAAGAGCAAGTTCAACAGCAAGTAATCTGAAAGTGTTTTCAAGAAGCAAGGATACATCCACGATTTAAAAAAAAAAAAAAAAAGATTTTTGCGGCGTATTTGGAAAGTCAACTTTGTTTAAATTGAAGAATAAAAGTGAAATGTTGGAATCGGAGAATCAAAATCAAAGATAAATCTGCGTCCTTGAGCGTCGAAAAGAAGCCTGAAACCTTCACAGTTTGACATGCAATAATATGCAATAATCCTTGAAGCTACTGTGAGATTGAAGGCTGTTGATCTTGAGTGATTCAGGCTAAAATACTTTCTTCAAAGCAATTGTCTGTAGTGCATGTTTTGATTGGGGGGTAAAAAAAAAATCTCGTTTTTACTTGTATGCAGAGGCCATTGCACACAGGTTGGTCAGTTGGATGTTGTGTTACATTTACACACTGTACACTCATAGGTGGGGACATTTCCACAGGCGGATAGATGTCTGTGTATATTTGTGTTTTTCTGTGCATGTAATTGTTACATGCCAAATCTGCTGCATCACTGAACGCCGACACTCAAACGTGGATCAGTTCCGTTTTTTTTTTTTTTAATGCAGAAGTCATTTATTCTGTATTCTCTTTAGAACTTCTTTTGAACGCCTTTGTTAAACCCAGATGTTACTGAACAGAGTGAGGATGAGGGATGATGATGGGAAGGCCAGAAACAGACCATACAAAACATGTATTGTATGTTTTTTTCACATGCCAGTAGCTTTTGAAATATCTCAGAACTTTTTGTCAACATTTGTTTTAAGTTATGGATGAAAGAGTGGGAATTTTAGGAGGTGCTCCACCTTATAAGCAAGTAGTACCTGAAGCTCTTGTGAACATCAGGGATGTGATTTTTCAGACTTTGTCAGGTCTACAGCTGTTTTAGAAATTTAGTTCCGTTTTATTTCTAGAGGAATTTTTCTTGAGTTCTGCCTTTGTTGTGTTCCCCTTATCACAGTCCAGACATCTTGACTGTAAATATGACAATAAACCTTTTTTGTACCAATCTTGTCTGGATTGTTCATTTTTCCTTCAGTAGATTTCGCTATAATAAATTACCACCACATTAGAAATACAGATGAGATGCCATGGATTAAATACCAAAAAGTGCAGTAAGTTGATGTTCATGAATTTATTATGAATGTAAAAAAAACAAAAAGATTTTAGAAATAATTCTGCAAAAATAGTAATAAATAAGGGCATGGGAGAAATAGTAACTGATTTAAATCATATGACAAATATTTGTTTTAACAATATACTCTAGTTTCATCGAGACAACTTACATGAATGATGAATAAATACTGTACATGTAAAAATGTTGGAAATTAAAAATCAAAAAAATAATAGGAATTTAAAAATATATCGTTGTCCATCCTTCTTTTCTTCCTTCATGGCCACAGTCCACAGACAGATTAACATCTCACGCTGTCTTTGTTCACTCTGGAGACAAGATCAGTTACAATGTGGTGTTATGTACGAAAAAATTATAAGCTGTCGTAAAATTAGTATCTTCAATAATAAACTCATGTATAAATATATACTTACACACACTGGCTCCAGTGGCTCCATGGCCCGCTGGTGTGTTTGTCCTGAGCTCGCACACAGAAAACATACCGTCTGGTTTTGACATTGATCTCGTACTTGGTTTGATCAGTGGTGTTGTGCTGCACAAAAGATAAGAAGAGATGACACATTAAAGACTAAGAAATGTGGCTAAACTGGAAGTATGCAAATGTATTTGAATATGATATGCTTAATATACCATTATGTATGTGTCATCGTGGCAAGACTGTCCATTGTGGACCATCTTGACCTGGAAGTGTAGGCCAAAGTAGGTGCAGGGCTTCTCCCAGGAGTCAGGGTAGTCCCAGCTGAACATCCTCCCATCATTGCTGAGTTGCAGGTTGGGGAGTTTTGCTGGCCTCACTGGATGGAGGAATGAAGTGGAGAAAGGTGAGCAAGAAAAGAAAACAGACAGTGAGGATGAGGTTACAAGGCCGCAGACAGATGAAAATATTGCCATATAACCTCAAATAACCTCAAGTGTTTGCATCACAGTTGGGTCAAAAAGTAGTAGAAGACTGCTAGAAAAGTAATTGTCCAGTGTCTAGGTTACCGATCTCTCTCAGGTAGAAAGACTTTGTGTAGGCCTCCAGAAGAGCGGAGCTGTGGATGTAAACAGCGAGGGAGATGGGGTGTTGTTCCTCTTTGTACGGGCAACTGGCATCCTGGCAGTGAATCCCTGATCCATCAGCATTCAGCTCACAAGGAATGCTTTCCATGTACCTGGATTTAAGACAAAAAATTTGGTAAAATGCAATCTAGAAGAGGTACCAGTATAATAAAATGTCACCTCGTGTTTTCAACATGGCTGCTCCAAGGAGAATTAGATATCAAATAACACAGCAGTTACTCCTGATTGAAATGAGTGTGATTTTTATTTTTGTCCTCACCGTTGTGCCTTTACAAGGAGCACAGCTGCACCGGCTCTGAACTCTGTTCTTGTCCAGGTACAGTGAAAGGAGCCTTTATAGTTTGGAGCAGAGCAGTGGATGTAACCTGGAGGAACAGGAAAAAAAACTGGGTTAGCTATCTATCTTTTGTGTCTCAGAGCACTTTGATTTGAAGGTCCCGCTATCTAAATGGAAACAAATCATTGTAAGATTAATTGCCTTTAACGAGGTAAATTAAAAAGATTTCTGGCTTGATACCAGCCACAGAAATATGTCTTGTGGCACCTATGAAAACAACTTTTAGAGAGACCTTTGCCTCTGTAAAATAAAACAGCAAAAGCTTTGACCTAAGAAAGAAAATCCTACAAGCATCAGGTTTAATCTTTTTTTGAGAATTACTGGCACTAACAATGTGATGATGCATGTAACATAAAGCCAACCTTTGTATTGTTTGTTTATGCTACAGCAATTATATTATTGTGGTAACATGTTCTCTTCTTTCTCTCCTTTAGTACATCTTGTACACTTATCTTGTTTTTCCTTCTTTCCCTTCACTTCCTTTTACACCATCACTCTACCTGCTGTGATCCTATTATCCAATTTCTTTTGCCTGTTTTTGAATCAAAGCCTGTCATTTTTACCATCTTACATCCCCGTTTCACCATCGTTCTTATCTCAGCTATTCACTTGTATCTATTCCACATCTTCTCCAGTGAAAGCTTCTCGCCAGGTCCAGATCTTAAATCTATCTGTTTGCCGTTTTGAGAATTATTTCATCCTCCTTTCCTCTCATCTCACTTCTCTCCCTGTGACTCTTTCGTACCTTCTTCAGCTGATTTTTTCTCCAGTATGACACTCCTGTTATCTGGATTTAGCTGGACCAGGATCACAGTGTGGTTGAGGTAATCTCCATCTGGACCGAGGTGACAGGTGTAGTTTCCTCCTTTTGTCTCTTCCACAGGAACCATGACCTGGTTCCCCTGCAGAGGTGGATTCATGTCCACACCTGAAACAAGGACAGTGTTGCAGTAAAGTCAGTGATTCAAAATGGCACAAAATCATTGAGAACATTTGCTGTTATGTTATATTGTACGTCATGATAGTGGCACAGGTATAAAAAGTACTTGTGTCAGCAGTTTTACCATTTTTCTTCCAAAACACAGGCTGGTTTTGATAAGCTTCTCCACAGCTCAGAGAAACATGAGCCACGGCTCTCCGGCCATGAGGCACCCTCAAAACCAAAACTGGTTACACCACAGACAAGAAGAACATAAATTGGTTTCAGTCAGTGATTGTTACGTATGTGAGATGAAGTAATAAAATAAACAGTGAAAGAATATTTAGTAGATGATGAGAATAAGGTACCAACCATTATCCATCAGAGTCTCAGTGACTACTTGGTGGCTGTCAGAGCTGACGCTGCACACCACAGCACACAGAAGCATGAGAAAAAATGCACGCATCTGTGAGAAATGATGAAACGTTAATTCATTGCAAGGACAGAAACCAAAATAGCAATACAGTTGAGGCAAAAAAGAAGAAGGTGTATTTGCTTAAACCTTGAAAATATTCAATGTCTTGTTGCGATATGTTTAAAGGCTGCATATGGTCCCAAATTGTGAGCAGCTCCATTTTTTTAAAAGTAAAAGATGCTAAAGAAGTAAAGTTTGCCAGTAATTTCACCTCACAACACGTTTCTCTTTTTAAGAATCTTGTGACCCCCTTTGAGAACCATAAAGTGAAGCATACCAGCACCTCTACAGTGGCTTTAAATAATTTCAATACACAAGTAAAAGAAGATCTGACGATGCTGCAAGAAAATGTATTCATATTGAAAGATGTTTGGCAGATCATTATCAGTACTTGTAGCTTTTATCCAGATTTATTGGATTGTTTTCTATCAAAATCCTTTTTTTTTTTTTTATCAGTTTACTCCGATGAAATGCAACCCTGATATATGAGAAATACATACAAATAACATGCTGAATAGCCAGAGAGATAAAAAAAAAGACAATGAGATTAAGTACAGGAGATCTTACCTTGACCACCAGACTTGATTCAGAGTTTTCCTCACTGAAAGCTGACCTGATAACAGACCAATAAGAGGGCTGTGTGCAATCAGTTTGTGTGTCTGAACTCTGCATGCTGCTGCTGTATTTATGCAGACAGAAGCAGAAGGTGAAAACCCCCAATGTGAAGTGGAACTGCCTGCTGTATGTGTGTGTGTGTGTCTGTTTGAACAAAGAAGAGTGCGTGCGTGAAATATTACCTGAGAATGTCAGGGCTGATGACATAAGATTAAGAGCTGGTTCTGCAGTTGGAAACACCGAAGTCATTACAAAGCAGGGAAACTGAATGGTATTTCTTCATCAACACACAATGTTCCTCTTGACCCATGGCCATCTTTTGGTCAACTTGTTTTTCCTCAGTCATGAGGACGATGACAAATGTTAAGAACAAAGGAAGAATTTTTCATCATACTATATTCTACGTGAAATTGGGTGCATAATCGTGCAGCCGCACTGACCACCGTGGGGGGAAGTGAGGAAAACACGACCGAGAAACCTCTGGGAACAGGAACTGAAAAGTGTCTGCACATGACAATGTGGGATGGTACATGGTTCTGTATCACTGAGAGCTGAGCAGGTACCCTGGAAAATAGTCATGAGAGTTCTCTGGAACAACAGTGATGGTGAGAAGAATGGTGAGCAGGATGAAATAAATGAAACTAAATCTAAAGGGGCTACTGAATGTGTTTGATGAACATTCAGGCTTTTGACCATGTAAGAAGAAGAAAAAAACTAAATAGCACGCTGTGATGATTTATGGAGGAGTTTCCAATTTTACAGCCACTAACATTTAATTATGCCAGTGTGGTTCTGTGGGTAATGAAAACCTGCACAACGTTTCCTATAAGCACAGTGGAGCGCTCTGCCTGTAAAAAAAAAAAAAAAAGAAAGGTAACAGATGACTATTGTAGGTGCTCTGGGGTTTTAAAGCAAACGACCTTTGTATAGAATTCTATTTTCAAGGCTATGGTACTCAGAACGAAAGCACGATTTCATTGCTTCTTTGTGCCCACTTCGATACGACACTTTTGTCCAGAAACTACATTTTACAAAACAGAAAACTTTCAACACACCCTTAATAATTGTAGAATGTCAAACAGCTTTTCTCTTGTTTGGGATGAGTTGCACATCTACCCACACAAGCAAAACCTCTTTACATCCTAACCTCGATCATGTGTAATGTCGAAAGGCATTTCCCATCAAATGCCACTCTTCTGTTTCTGCTTCTCATGTGGTAGATTCAATACCACACTGACCTTATACATGATCCTCTTCCCCTCTACCTGTACTTCATGCATGTTTGGACATTTCACACTTAATATGATTCAAGCAGGTCATTAACTCTCCTACTTCCTCCTCTGTGCTCAAGTGGTTTTGTTACGTGAGTTATTTACAGGTAAATTGTTACCCGGCAGGCAGGTTTAGATTCCTTCCTTGTCCCATCAATGGCTGAATGACGTTTCTTTATTTGCTCTGTAGCTGGGAATACCAGCTGGCACTACTTACCTCAGACACAACACTTACAGCAGCTCCTTCTCTCCTGACCTATTTGCATCATCGTGTTTTTTTCACAGAACTTTTCATGTTCCGACCGTCTGGAATGACTAGATTTAAGATAAGGAAGTTGAAATGACGAAAGGGGGAAATCACAGGAAAATGAAGCCGATATTGGGTAATTGCCAGCGATGGAACTCAGCCTCGAAATCAGATATTAATAATTAATACTGACTTATCATGGATTTATCAGCTCATTAGTTTTCTGAGATTGATAGCACTAATGTACCGGACTCTAATTATGACACTGGAACTGGGAAGTGATTAGATTAGCACTGGACTGAATTCAATGGTGTACAAGAAGTGAACTACCTGTATGCTTAAAGCTGAAGTATTTCTTTGCCACTCAGTGACTCAATCGTCTGATAATGCCAGGAATCCAGAACTCCAGCACAAGTGCAAATACTAAACGCCCAATAAAACCACAACATGCTATGTTAACATGCGAATTAAACAATATGTGTGTTATTTAGTGAACTTTAGAGGAGGTGATGTGCATACTTTCAACACTTTTGGACAAAGCCAGGCGAGACGTTTCCACTAAATCTAGTCTTTATCGTAAGCTGTGCTATCTGGCTGCCTGCTATGGCTTCATACCACATCAGAGTGGAGTCGATCCCGCCACGGGCCCTTGACAAGAAAGTGAAAAGATAAATTTTCCCTCAATGACTAGTATTTCTTTACATATTCATGTAGCCACAAAATGAAAGTTCGAGGCAATGTGTTTCTCTCTCGACTGTGGTTTGCCCACTATACGGAGAAGTGTTAATCATAATGACACTATCATAACACACAGCTCAAAATAGCACACATATTATGAAAAGTGTGATTTTGCAATATGCGGGGAGGAGGGAATTACTTTAGACACATCGAGGGAAGAGAGGAAAGGTAATTATGTCCTAAAATGGGTCAGAATGTTTCAGTTAAGAGATATCAATCACATATGTAGTATGTTCATTTATACACTCACTACTTGGTTGGGGCTCCTTTACCACAAATTACTGCATCAATGCGGTGTGGCATGAAAGTAATCAGGTATTACTGAGGCCCAGCTTGCTTTGATAGCAGCATTCAACTGACCAGAATTTTTGGGTCGCATGTTTCTCATCTTCGTCTTGACAGCACTCAGTATGGTGTTCTGGAGGGTTGAGTTCAAGTGAGTTGGCTGGCCAATCAAGCACAGTAGTATCACAGTCAGCAAACCATTTAGTCGGAGTCTTTGCTCTGTGGGCAGGCGCTAACCTTCATAAAGCTTGTCAGCAGCTGTAAAATCTCCTGGTAGATGCTGCGTTGGCTTTGGACTTGACAAAACAGAGTGTTTCAGGTGTGGTTTGATATTAGGAATGCAACAGCTGAAGCTCCTTCTGGTGGCTCTTGATGCACTGACACCAGCCTGTGTCCTTCTGAAGCTCTCCTAAGTCCTTGAATTGACTTTTCTTGACAGTCCTCTCAAGGCTGTGTTCATCCCTGTTTATTGTGCACCTTTTCCTACCAAACTTTTCTGTTCCAGTCAACTTTACACCAGTATGCTTTGATATAGTACTCTGCCAACAGCCAGTCTTTTCAGCAGTGCCCTTCTGTGGCCTTTTCTCCTTGTGGAGTGAGTCGATGATCTTCTCGAACAACTTTCAAGTCAGCATGACTGAGGTTGTGTGTACTGAACTAGACTGATACATACATAGTATTTTTACTATTTAAACAGTAACTTAC